TTAAATGAGAAACTATTTGTTCTGTAAGCCTTCACCTGAAGTACAATAAAATATTAAAAAAAAAAAAACTAAAAAAAAAAAAAAATTCTCCAAGATTTTAAAGGATAGGCTCCACTGAAAGCTACAAGGCACTGAAAATGCATGAGGGACCTTCCAGATTATTATGCAAATAATGTGCATGACTTCTACATTTATTTGCCATCTATGCCCTCTCCCCCCAGGTATTTTCGGGTGGGAAGGCTATGGTTGGCAAACAAACATAAAAGTGTAGCACATCACTTGTGTAAAATTCTGCTATATCAGATATGGAGAAATTGCTAAGGGCGTGAATTGAGGACCAGACACAAAAGCGTTGAGGATCACTGCTAAGGTGCTTGAAGAAAAAGCAGGACCAGACTATGATACAGAGTTTAGTGCTAGCTCTGGGTGGTTCAAGCACTTCAAACAACCATTTTTTGCTGCATTATGTGAAAGTGAATGGTGAGCCTGCGAGTGATGATGCAAAGGCAGCAGAAGAATTTGTTGACACCTTAGATAGAGTAATCCTAGAGGGAGGTTATTTGCCCCAGCAAATTTTTAATATGGACGAAACCTCCTTATTCTGGAAGCAAATGCCTAAAAGGACCTTCATCCATAAGGAGGCCAAATCAGTGCCAGGCTTCAAGGCTTTTAAAGACACAGTGACTATGTTGTTAGGAGGCAGTGTTGTAGATGTTTTTTGCACAGTGTCCAAATCACATAACGTCCTATTTCACAAAACATATCATGGACATTAAGTGATGCAAGCTTGTATATATGTATATCACCTGTCTGATGTGCATCTGTATGAATGAAGTATACAAACTGAATATACCATGTAACCAGCACCTAGATCAAGAAACAGAACATTATCATTAACCCAAAAAGCCTCCTCATGCTGTCTTCTGGTTGCTACCTGCCCTCTCTTAAGGATAACCACTATCCTAATTTGCATCAGCATAGATTAGTTTGCCTATTTTTATACTTTATATGAATGGAATCCTATGATATGTACTGTTTTATGTCTGGCTTTAAACTGAAATTTTTATTCTTTACATAGATTATGCAATAAACATTTTCAACAAACTGGATTTAGTTCAAGTTGTAAGCTAAAGTACTAAACATTATCTTGGAATTCTTAGTGCTACAATATGTCTAAATGTATCACTCTAAAATTAGATGGCTGTCTCTGAGATGTTTTTTACTGAATATTAAAAGAGAAAGTTTTTCTTAAATCCCAAAGTTCTCCATTTCTCTTTACAGATTAGTAGTAGCTCATACATACTTTGCTCTTACTTTATCACTTGCTTCAATAAAAGTCCAGTTTACCCGGGACACCCTTTTAACTCACAGCTGAAGCCACTCCTGAAGTTTACCCTGCAGCCAAAGATTAGACAGGTCTATAAGACAAATAATAACACACATAAGGAAACAAGCTTCTTAGTTCAATCATGTATACGAGACCAAAAGGGCAACACCTGCCAAAAAGCAATGATGAGAAGGCGGAAAGGAACAGGAAAAATGAACGTATGGAAACGAGGAATTGGGATGTTGAAGGGGAAAGTGTTGACACGTTGCAGGGATTGCAACCAGTGTCACAGAGCAATTTGTGTATAAATTGTTGAATGAGAAACTGATTTGCTCTGTAAAGTTTCACCTAAAGCACAATAAAATAAATAAACAATTTAATATATTCTGTATTTATTAATGCAGCTGTAACATTTTCGGTTATTTTTCACTGTCTTCCCAGACCTGGGCACTACATTCTCTATCACTGATAATTGATTCTGCTGGCCCACTCTATTATGTGCATGTGGAACCTACCCTTTCTCTTATCATAATGTTGTTGTTAAATGTGCCTCCTACTCATGCTGAAGTTCACCAAAGTCTTGGTCGCTGTTTGAATGCCCTTATTACCACATTGGGTCCAGAGCTACAAGGTATGCATAGCTGTTTTTGTGGTGTTTTACATAGAAAATATACACGTAAAAATGAATACATTTCCTATACTGTATGCATGTACTTTTTAATGAAGTTTACCAGAATGTTTTATTCAAATATATCGGCAGAATGTTGAGAGATGTCTTGTGGAAACTTTGGCCATGGATGATGACAGAAAAAACACAGAAACTGGAAAACTTAGTCTAAGATCCTCTATTAACTAATTGGGTGACCTTGGGAAAATCTTTTTACATCTCTGGGCTTCAGTTCTTCCTCTCTAAAATGAGGGAGAATGTGAAAAGTTTCTGTGCTTGGCACATAATAGGTGCTTAGTATCTTATGTTAAGTGAGTGTATAAATGCCATGCAGTTTATATTTCTCTTACCTAGAAAATACAAGGAGTACCATTTGTAGAAAGATTACATATGTCCTACAGTTGCTTCCCATCAGAATTAAAATGACAGATACGAGTGAAACAGTTTAAAGAACGCCAGTCTCAAATAAGTCCAAAAACACAAATATTCTTATCTATTCAAATTATAGAATATATGATTTAAATACATGAAAGTAGCTCTCAACTAATATAAGCAGGGCTAAGCTTATTATTAAGGACTGGGCAGTGTTTCATTCTGTTGTGTATAGGGTCACTATGAGTCAGAATCAACTCGATGGCACGTAACAAACAAGTTTATTAAGCAATTTCTAATTCAACTTTTCATGAAAATTTGATGTAATCTTCAAATAGCCATGGTGACATAATAATTAAGAGCTTGGCTGCTAACCAAAAGATCGGCAGCTCAAACGTACCAGCCGTTCGCTGGAAACTCTATGGGGCAGTTCTATTCTGTTTTATAGAGTTGCTGTGAGACAAAATTGACTCGATGGCAGTGGGTTTGGTTTTTGGTTTTTCAAATAGTCTTAGGTTTTTCTTTGCATAATGGGTTGTGGCGAAATAAACCTTTCACATTAAGAATAATTTAATGTAATCTAAAAATGTTGCCTAGACTGTACCTTCTTTCATAGAAGAAATTTTACTAAAAAATCTGTAAGTTTAAAATTGGAAATACATTTTAAAACCCAGTTATATAAAGAGTAGTAATTTTATAGATCAGTTATTAAAAGCTTTCTGTTTATACTTTAGGCAACAGTACTTCAGTTTCTACCCTAAGGACTTCTTGCCTCTTGGGTTGTGCAGTGATGCAGGATAACCCAGACTGCCTTGTTCAAACTCAAGCCATTTCTTGCCTTCAGCAGCTTCATATGTTTGCTCCACGACATGTCAACTTGTCTAGCCTGGTCAGCTGCCTTTGTGTGAGTATAAAATTATAAATTAGACCTTAGTTTCTTTTACTTGAAATTTAGATTTATTCTAATACACATTTTATTTATCCTCTAGACTGTTATATATTATATACATAACTATTTTCCCTCAGTTCTAGTCTTTTTTGGGGGACAGAGGAAGCTTTTGTGCAATCACCTCTTAAATCTCTTATGTATTAATTCATTTTTCCCCCATTAATGTTGAACTAAACACTTAATATTTGGAATATTTATTCATTAATCAGCAAACACATATTGGGTGCTTATAGTGTCCCAGGTACTGTATAAATAATGTAGGACATGCAAAAATTTATAAGGTGTGGTCACTGTCATTTTTTTTTTTTTGTCTTCTTCCTCTGTTCCAAATTACTACATATAAACATCTTCGTATCCCAGATGAAGAAAAAACACTTTTCTATGATATTCTAGCAGTATATGCATCAATAAATGGATTTTAGTAATATAATGAATATAGAACAGGGAATGCAATCAACAGAAAGTTCTGATGATAATCAAAACTGGTTTTAAGATTTAGCTTGAACATCACAAATTTCTGTCTGAACTTGCCTCAAAATTGAATTGCATTTGGAACTATAACTTTATGCCATTGCTTTTCACCTTTTTCTGCCCCTTCTGAGTTCATAGCACATTGCTACTAGTGGCATGACAGTTGAGAATCATTACTTTAGAAAGATCATTCATTTTCAAGCTTGAGGCAAAATATGCAGCATTTCAGAACTTGAAAGAACCTCAGACATCATCAAAACCAGTCTTCTCAATAAAAAGATAAACTGAGGGCCAAAAAGTCAAGTAAGTTGCCCAGTGTAACACATTTACGTAGTAGTAGCTCTAATTCTAGAATCCAGGTTTCTAAACTCATCCAGCCCTCATTTCATTATTTTATACAGTCTTTGTAAAGTTTATGGATAGCTCTTATCTCAGTTCTGCCACCTCCTAGCTGTGTGGCCTTAGGAAAATCCCATAACCTCTTCAGCCTCAGCCCCCTTGTCTGTAATGTATGAGGACTACATACTCATGTGCACATTCCAAAGGTACATGTGCCAATAAATAGTAAATATTTTTACTGTTATTGCATTTGTCTTAAACATAGACTTTTATTAATCTTACTGATTTTGGTAGTCATAATTATATAAGGCTTTAAAAAGGAGAGTGTGACTGACTTTTCTGACAAAGTTTTGCTCCTCGGTCATTTAGATCTGGGTCAGAAATATATTAGAGAAAGTAGCACTTAAAGGAGAAGGATTTTACCATTCCCCCTCAAGGACTTTTCCCCAGGAATATTGCTCTCTATATTTAAAGAAATCATTGCCAAAACTAATTATTGAAAAATTTTTCCATTCCTTTGCATGTTGATGTAACTTTTGCTCTCCATTTAAATGTAACGATATTGCCATTTTTCTTCTTCTTGAATTGTAGTAGAAGTTTTCCAGTAATGACCTTTTAAAATTTCTTCTTTAACTGGTGCATAAGTTCATTTATTAAGTAAAGGTTACTGAGAAATGAAGATCAAGACTACTAACTCATGATGGATAAGACCTGATCAAACTCGTTACGTTTTTTTCCTTCCCCTTAATTATAAAGAAGCATAGAAACTATTATCAGATTTTTTTTTTTCTGGTTATATTCAGAGCATTTGACAAAATCTGAAGTAACAGTTACATATGTTATTCATGTTATTCATAATATTTAAGCTGTAAGATGATTTTTTTCTTCATTCAGAAATCATGTATTTAAATCACTGTCACTGTAGTCTTAATATTTTGGTCAATAAGGCTTTAACTCAATTTATTAGATTGAATTTTTTATGTTTTAGTGGTACTGCCTGTAGTAAACAAATTCCTTTTGCTTTCCTATTTAACAGCTTTATGACCAGGTTTTCTTTTCTCTGAAGAATTTAATTATTAAGCATAGAGTGTTTTCATATTAATTGAAACCTTCTGAATATTGAGAATACATTTCATCATTAGGAAGGACTCTTCCGGGAAAGGGTTTTCTTTTAACTGCATGCTAGTTAACTTCCACTCTGAAGTTGGCCTTAGCTATACTAGCAATTCTCAGTACCTTCAGTTTTTAAACTTGGCTTCCCAGAGCATAAAATCTATAATTAACTTGTGATGAAATAAACCATTAACTTTGTCCTTTGCTGGACACCTGTTCATACGAATGCAACTCAGAGCATTTTTCCCACACTCATATCTACTTGATCTGTTTTTGATACTGAGGCTCAGTCAGAGATTCCAAAAGAAAGCTTAATTACACAAATGTACATATTTTATTATTATATATTTTATCTTATATCTTTTATGTCTTAGAGCTCTTGAGTTGGCTATTTTAAGATCTTAGCTCAACTCATAATTTAAGTTGAAAAATAAAGTATGGCACATTTTCTAGCTGAAGCTAAGCCTATTTGAATAACAATAGCTGTATCAACATTTATACTTAAATGCTTAGCTGACTTTTGTCAAAGTCATCCTAGTATTTATCTTTTGGTTTTGTTGTGACCAGTCTGTCATTTGTTTTTGTGCAGGAGATCTTGTTGGATAATTCTGTGTTGGTAGGTCCCTGACCCTTGATTCCTAACTTTTCTTGAGGTTTGCAGTGCTGTTTCTTTGTGTTGTTTTTTTATTTTGGATGTAGATGTTCTTGTTTTCCTCTGCATCATTTTGTTAAGCTAACCATTACTGCAAAGTCCCGTGTATGTAGCATGTTACATGGTGTTTATTTAATAGCAATAAACAAATCCTTCCTAACCTTCTCCAGCTGATGCACTCACTCCTTGCACTGAATTTTGCATTAGTTTGATTTAATATATTCATTTCAGAAGGGAATTGAAGTTACAGTTTGGTTTAAGTTCTATATTTTGCCTGCTTCATTTTTTTGCCTTAACCCACTCTGTTCCTCTTACCCAATATAAATGCTGGAGAATGACATGGAGATATTAAGCTTCCCATTTTGTTTTATGTGGCAGCCTTCAATCTTTTTTCGACCACACTAAAGAGTACTTTTAAGCATGCTTTATCTGGAAGATTGTTTGACCAGCTTGAATAAATGATGCACCTGCCTTGTATTACATGCTTGCAACTCTGCAGTTAAAATAACTAGTGGATTCATTGACTTTTCTTTAAAATTGTCTTGTAGAGTACTTTTTTTAAATTTTGGTCAGTGTTATTAAATACAGCAGTAATCTTGGGCATGAATAAACAATCTTTTAAATTTTAACTTCTCTGTTATCCTGTGTATAGTAGTTTCTAACAACAGAGTTCTGAAACGTATCTGAAATGACATTACCTTGAGACTTCTATGAATGGCATTCCTCATTCCTCAGCACTTTTGAGTTCATGATACAGCTTTAGGGTATAATAGAACATATTATTTATAAAGCAGTTCCCATCCATACGTTTCACTGATGATATATTCACAAATTTTTTTCTGTCTTTTGGCTTCTAATGAAATTTAGGATTTAGTTCTCTTTGCACATGTTTCTTATATATCTAAAACTAGCTGCCAGCACACATCTTTTTTTTTTCTCTCTCAGAATTTAAGAAATTCTACTCCTCACAACAAACTCACCCATTTCAGTCCTGTTTCGCCCACATACATCAACGATTACTGTAAGAATTATGACATTACTTCTCAAAGTTTGCTTTGAAAGTCATTATTATAGGAAACATATTCATTGTTGTTGTACACTACACCAAACTGATTCTTTCATAGTTAGAATAAAATAAATTTCAAAAACTCTAGACTTTATCCCATTTATGAAGTCACTGAGTGAGAATTTGTATCCAAAACCTTTGACTTGCTCATTTGAGGTTTATCATCCATCTTTTTATTTGGCTTAAGTAGGCACAACCTACTGAGGTTTACATAGTTTAAATACTTGTATGTAAAAATTTGTATTGAGCCTGTCATTCTGAGCAGAAATATTCCATATCTCTAAGATATACATACGTATACGTGTATATATACATGTATGTGTGTATTATATGTATATCTATATATAGACACATATACACGTATATAATTTGCTATTCTCTAATGCTTGTCTGTAGAGAGCATTTTTGGTAAATATTTTTTCTGCATAAAACGCTTTCAGCCCTTTATTAGAAAATACATTTATTTACTCTGCATTTCATCTGAATAAAATAATATTGATAGAGACTACATTAATAATAACTAACATTTATTGAGCATTTACTATTTACCAAGAACTATACTAAGCATTTGCATGTTACACTGTGTTATCTTCGTAGCAGCCCTATGAAATACTGGTAGTGTTATCCCCATTTTAGAAATGAAGAAACAAAGGCACAGAGAGGTTATATAACTTGCCCAAGGTCACACAGCTAGTAAGGCTCACAGAGCTTTCATTTTAACCAATATGTTATACTGCCTATAGAGATTTGCATAAATTTATATTTAGAGAATCAGAAAACGTTATATACAGTTGCATAAGCACAGATATATATAAACTGCAAATAAATTATTTCACAGTTTTTTTTTTTTTAATCTCATAAATTCTGTGTTGTCTAACACTGTGAAGAGGCTTTTTGGTTGGATTTGTTTATAAATATTGCATAATCTAATACATGTGTTACTCCTTAAGTTATTTCTAAGTTATACAATCATACATAGTAGAATAGTTTGAAGACCTTTCTGTGTGTTTAGTATATTGTGTTCTGCCCATTGATGGCTTGACAGGATAAGGAGGGAATCCAGTGAATATCTTTTAGACTTAGTGCCACCAACAATTTTAGCTTTTTCATTCCCCAAATGATATTTTTCAGGTGAATCTCTGTAGTCCCTACTTGTTACTGAGAAGAGCAGTACTGGCTTGTTTACGTCAGCTTGTACAGAGAGAAGCAGCTGAAGTTTCAGAACATGCCATTTTGCTTGCCAAAGATAACAGAGAGGGTTTGACTCCAGGTAATTCTTTTTACCAAGATTACGTCCAGCTCATGGTATTAATCTTAGATTTTCCAAATACACGTAAGTTTTTTAAATAAAATTTGAAAGTTAACATTTAAATGTCTTAAACCTACTACAGTTATCATTCTAACCATTGATGTTACTGGTTTATTGCAATGGTTCTTAAACAGAGGTCCCCAAACCAGCAACATCAGCATCACCTGGGAACTTTTAGAAATGCAATTTATTTGGCCCCATCCTAGACCTACTGAATCAAAAATCTGGGGATAAGGCCTAGCAATCTATGTTATCTGTGTTTTTACAATGCCTCCAGTTGATGTTAATGAATACTAAAGTTTGAAAACCATCTGTTTAGAGCAAGTTTTTTCACAACAGACAATTGAAATGGATCTCGTCCTTAAGTAATTTATCATATATGCCTCCCTCCCCTAAAATCTCATTTCATAAAATTTATTATAGATGAGTCTGCTACAAGTTAAAGGGTTTTTATGCCCCTTCTACATTTTAGAGCTGAATTGAAGGACTGATTAGCCAGTAAGGTTTGTTTTAAGTACATAGCCCTTCATTTTAAAATTGTAATATAAGTAACCCAGTCTTGCATATAAATTTAAAGAAACTATTAGCTCTGAATAATAGCAATGATAATATCTTACACTTGTATGTGTATAGTTTCCAAAGTGCTGGCACACTTTTAGAAGATCCCAGACTTCACAAAGCTTTCCAGACCCATAATGCTTTCAGACCCATAGTATGTTTTATTGTCGATAGTCGGTGTAATTTACAGTTTAATTATTAAATTAATACTTTTGTTGCAACCTGCGTTATTCAGCATTGCTGGGCTGGCATATTAATTATCAAACAGGTTGTAGAAGTCATTTGAAAACTATTCAGTGATTTACCTTAGCCAGAGAAATTTCAGCATTCTTACAATGAGAGAGATTCTTCCCACAGTGACTGTCAGTTTATATTCACACTTAAATTATCTATATCTGTTGCTTTATGCCTTGATTATATAAGCATGCTGGTACATGTTTCTAGAATTATTGAATTAGCTCTGTGAATCAAATAGTAGTAAAGTGAAATTTTCGCTATCCATCTCAAGAAATTATACAATTCTTTTTTTTTTAATTTTGTCATTTTTCAAACCCATATAAAAGTTGAATCTTACAGTGAACACATAGATTCACTAGCTTATTATCTTTATGATACTCATTTTATCTCTCTGCGTATCTAAATACACACACGCACACAGTTCCCTTTTGCCAAACCATCTGAAAGCAGGCTGCAGATATCATGAGGGTCCACCCATAAATACTTGGGTTTGCAATTTCCCAAGGATATTCTCGTACATGACCACACATGATCTCCACACTTAAAATAATCAGCATTGATTTAATAGTATGGTAGAATGTATACTCCTCACACAGATTTCCCCAGTTATCCAAAACAAATTCTTTTATGACTCCTTACCACCACCACCACCACCTCCCACCCAACTCTAGGACTCATACGTTGCATTGACTGTTCTGTCTCTTTAGACTTCCCTAATTGGGAACACTCCTACCTCCTCCCTTTGATCTTAAAAGATAATTACTCTTTTAAAATAGTCTAATAGTAGCAGAACCTTTAGAATATCAGTGTTTTCTTAAAAGCCAGATGAGTTAAATCTTCAAGAGAAAATTCATTTGTTCTTTTGACATTTCTAGAATTAAAGTAAATAGATGATCGATCAAGGCTTATATTTCACCTTTGATATGCTTTAGTAGTTTTCAATAAGAATATTGTATGGCTCGTGAAGAATGTGCCTCTTAGTCAAGTAGATACAAGAGACCACAGGGGCAACTTCTGTCCAGAGGTGAGATGGGAAGGCAGAGCGAATTAGGAGCTGGTTGAATGTTCATGGGGAATCAGGGGCAGAGAGGAGGAGTGTGCTGTCACAGCATGGGGAGAGCGGTTGGGATCTCATAACAATACGTAAAAAAAAAATTTTTGTATGGGAGACTAACTTGAAATGTAAACTTCATTTAATTACAACAATAAAAAAAAATAAAGTTTAAAAAAGAATATTGTATGGTGATTTATATTAATTCACCAGTTTTTAGTTCCACAATAGCTTAGTTTTATTAAACACTATTCTCCATACAATAATTTTCTTCTGTGTGGATTTTCCATTCATGTCAACAAATTTAAAGTCTTTAAACCAGAGTTAGGAAAGCTTAATTGTGCTTTTTTTTTTTTTTATTGTAGAGAAAATAAAATAATTATACCATTAAACATTAATTAGGTAAAAATGTTTACCTAATTTAAGAAAACATACTAATAACTCTTAATAAAGGCTTATTAGCTTTCAGTGACATTGCATAAAAATAACTGTACAGGATCATGAATAATCCCAAACTTTAACCATGAATTAAAATAGATCTCAGTAGATGAAGGCACAATGTTTGGGCTAGTTCTTTGACATAATCTTTGTACGTAACATCATAGTAACTGCTGAATGTGTGTGCATCTCATCTGGCAGTTTTGTTTTCTGTATTACTTAGATCATTGATTTTCTTCTTGTCAGATGCTAACATGAGAGAAGTGGGCCTTGAAGGGGCATTATTGACCTTACTAGACAAAGAAACAGATCAGAAATTATGCCGTGATATCAAAGAGACTTTAAATCATATGCTAACATCTATGGCAGTGGGAAAACTTTCCTTTTGGTTAAAGCTTTGTAAAGATGTACTGGCTGCATCAGCTGGTAAGTAGTGGTGATAACCAGTTGAAATAATAAAAATAAAAAGTAAAAACTTTATATAAAATGGTTTGCCACGAGGAATCATCAATCTTGTCTGAATATTTGGATTATAATTGTCTGGGTGTTGCTTTCTTGAAATGAAGATTATAGTTCTAGTGTTCAAATATTCTTTATAATTTGAACAATATAAATGTAACACTTGAGCCTGGTTTTTGGGGGTTTTTTTGTTTTTGTTTTTGTTTTTTCCTCTTTTGATTGTCTTAGATGACTTTCCTGTATAAAACAAACTAAAAGGCATAGTTGTTATTTATGCTATAAAAGGCATGACCAAATTTATAGCAGCCTGTCTGTTTCTTGATATATAGTAAATATTTGAAGCATTATCTTAATAATCAAAACAGAAAACTCACCAATGCTATGACATTTTAAATAGGCCAGTTTCTCCACACTTTAATGTTAATTTCAAATAGTGTTACAAAGTAGTGTTATTTCTCTAACGTCTTTGCTAATACCAGGTAATTGTTAGAGAGAAAGTGTATTTGAGTTTTTAAAATTTCTATCGTTAGAGTAAAGTAATGAGAGGAAGAAAGAAAGAAACATATTCTCTGCCAGGTACTGGACATAGTTTACCTCATTTAATCCTTTAAGCAATTCTAGGAGTAGGCAATATTATTCCCATTTTATAGAAGAGAAAGCAGGCTTGGAGACAGGTTAAGTAACTTGCCTACAGACACACAATTGATAGTGTTAGATGGATTCATACCTAATTCTGTATGACTTCAAATTCCTTGAACTTTACACTATATTTCAGTAGCTCTCAACTCAGTTACTCAAGCCTTAAAATTTAATGTAGCTCTGATCTCTGAATTATGTCAAAGGGCAAAAGATACTACTAAAATTTCCTTTTTTTTAAAGTTTTTCTTACATTCTTTACTGTCTACCTTGATTATTATTGGTACCCTTCCAATCAGTTAGGAGCCCTGGTAGCACAATGTTAAGTGCTTGGCTGCTAACCGATAAGTTGTTAGTTCACTCCATGGAGAAAGATGTGGCAGTCTTGCTTCCGTAAAGATTTACAGCCTTGGAAACCCTACGGGGTAGTTCTACTTTCCCTGTAGGGTCGCTCTTAGTCGGAATTGACTTAACAGCAATGGGTTTGGTTTTTGATTTTGGTTTTCCAGTCATTTATATCTGCTTTTGCAGTATTATGCTGTATATGTTTTGCTTTTTTAATACTTACGTCCCTGTTATTTAAGAACTTACAAGGACTTCTCCCTTAAAAGAAAATCTGTATGTGCATAGATAGACAAATTGATTGTACTTTTCTCGTATCTCACCTATCTTTTTTTAATTTTACATTCATACTTCCTGAGCTTGCTGGAAGCCTGGTGGCACAGTGGTTAAGAACTCAGCTGCTAACCAAAAGGTCAGCAGTTCCAATCCACCAGCCGCTTCTTGGAAACCCTGTGGGCCAGTTCTCCTCTGTCCTATAGGTTTCCTATGAATCAGGATTCACTTGATGGCAGTGGTTTGATTTTTGGGTTTACTCCTTGAGCTTGGTAGCTCAGTTTTATTTCACCATTTGTTCTTTATCCTCTATAGTTTAGCATTTTTCCTTGTTATTGGGAAAACACCTTTCAGTCTCTATTGGCTTCTCAGTCATAAAACAGGATTTTGTCATAATTTTATTTGTAATCTTTGCTATCGTAACAGCACAAAAATGTTGACATATAAGATAGCTTAAGAAAAGCAAGTTGGTTCTATAACATTAGTTCCATTTTAAGTTGACTTAAGAGAATTATTTCCTCTTCTTATTAAGTATTATCAATGACTCCTGCCATCAGGATGACTTTGAGACTATTATGACAGTAATGAGTCTATCCCTAGAAAAGTATTTTTAAAGAGATTCAGTGGGTTCAGGAACCTCCTTAAATCCAGTGTTGAAATAACATCCCTAATGCACCCCACCCCACTCACACTCCCTCATAGAGACTTTTGACCTTGTTTAGGTATAGCCATCTACATACTGGGTATTGATAATTATCCAGTACCTAGTATCATGTTTAGTTTCTCAATTTGAATATATTTAACAACTTCGTCATTTTGACTTAGAACAGCTCTTCTAATATTTCCTTTAAGCAATGCTGTTATCATCTATAGTTATTAGAAATAATTATTTGATGTTATTAAATGAGGTATGGTTGATCCACAGTAATTCTAGTCTGAATTTGAAATCATTTGTGTGTTCCTTTATAAATATATGTTACAATTGATTATAATTACTGTATTCTTCCTTGATAAAAGATTTTACAGCTATAACTTATGTGGATACAATGCAAGAAGAGGAAGGAGATAAAGGGGATGATGCTTCAGTTCTGACCACCAGGAATGATGAAAAATTTCATCCTTTTACCAATCCGCGATGGGCTACTAGAGTCTTTGCTGCTGAATGTGTCTGTAGGATAATTAACCAGTGTGAGAACGCAGACAGTGCACATTTTGACATTGCTTTAGCACAAGAAAAGAAAAAAAGGGATTCGAGAAGTAAGTGGCATAATAATGAAAAGATCAGATGATACATGTAGAAATGCTGTCTGTTTATGGTTTTAATATTACTTTAAAAAATAAGACTAAAAGGTTATTTTTATTTTTCCAAATCAGTTATGAAACTTGATTGCAATATTTAGATAAGCTATAAGGATAGTGTATTTTTTGATGTTTAAATACATTTTTAAATGATTAGGCTTCTTAATCACTTTTGTTTAATGGACATGTGCAGTGAGTTAAGTTTATAGAGAATAAGCATGTTCTTGGGGAGTAGCATGTGTATTAGCCAATTCCCAAAAAATATTATTGAATAAAAATTTAGCAATTTTATATACTTCTTTTATTTCATGGATATTGCCTGGAAAACATTTGAGCTTATCTCAATGTAAAGTAAACCGACTGTAAGACTATTTTGACCTTTTATGTTCACTTTTATTATATTTACATAAATATGTGTGTGTTTATGGTTTGAGAAGCCCTGATGACGTAGTGGTTAAGAACGATGGCTACTAACCAAAAAGTTCGCAGTCAGTTCCCATCCACCAGCCACTCCTTGGAAACGCTATAGGGCAGTTCTACTCTGTCTTATAGGGTTGCTGTGAGTTGGAATTGACTCAACAGCAACGGGTTTTGGTTTTATGGTTTAATGCCTAATTTTTTAAATTTACTTTAGATATACGTTCAGACGTACATTTCCAAATACCTTAGATATATGCTTTACAGGACCAAAGAATTATAAGGGAAAATGTTGCTGTTGCCAATGTAAGAGTATAAATTAGTTATCTTTGTTTTACTTATTTTTCCAAGCAAGCATTTGTTGAGTCTCATTCATGGTGAGCACTGTGTTAGATACTATGATAGGTCTAAAATTAGTATATCATTTCTCCTTACTGATTGCAGTGCTGTCAATTAAAATTGGCACTAAGATGAGTTGATTTCTTCAGTGTGAGTTACAACTCTATTCTTCTTAGAATTAGTCTCAAATATATTCCAGATAAAGGTTAGTTATACCTCTAAACATTTTATTATTGGAATACTGTTAAATGATTGCCTTATCATATGTGAGTAAATGCACTTTCATGTGTAGGTGTATCTGTAGGCATATGTATATACACATTTGTGTGTGCTATATATATATCCACAAATACAACAAACCACATGGGGGCACAGTTACAGAGGCTTCCTAGACATATCCAGATAACTCACAGGATTGGCTTACTGGATCGAAAGGCTTGGGACCATAGTCTTGGGGGCAACTTAGTCAATTGGCGTAACATAGTTCACAAAGATAATGTTCTACATCCTACTTTGGTGAGTAGCCTCTGTGCTCTTAAAAGTTTGCGAGTGGCCATCTAAGATAACAACTATTGGTCTCTACTTGTATAGCGCAAAAGAGAAAGAAGGAAATCAAGGGCTCTTAGAAGAAACTAGTTCACGGGACTAATAGCCCACACAAAACACAGCCTCTTCTAACCTAAGACCAGAAGAACTAGATGGTGCCTAGCTACCCAGATAGAATAAGATAAAAATGTAAAACAAACCTCAAATTCCTAAAAAATGCCAGACCAACTGGACCAATAGACACTAGAGGAACCCTCAAGACTATCACCCTAAGATACCCTTTGAACTTGGAACTGAAGCTATTTCTGGACATCACCTTTCAGCCAAATAATAGATTGACCTATAAACAATACCACCCATGAGTAATGTGCTCCCTTAAAAAATCAACTATAGGAGACCAAACAGTCAATGTTTACCCAAAAGCAAAGATGAGAAGGCAAGGAGGGAAAGGGAAAGGTAGATCAATGGAAAAAGAACCAACAGAATGGAAATAATAAGAATGCTGATACATTGTAAAAATTATAACCAATGGCACGGAACAATTTGTATAAAAATTGTTAAAGGGAACTTAATTTGTTGTGTAAACTTTGACCTAAAACACAATAAAATGCTCTTAAAATAAGATACAGGTCTATAGATGTACTGTGTTCTCAAAATCAAACACTTATTTCTGGAATAAAAAGAAACAATCTTTCTTTGTGGAAATAAAGTTTATATGGAAAAACGGGGAAAAAATTATTGCCTTATGTCTCTCCCCAGTACAATTATTATACCAAAGAATGAGTTGTAAGAATAAAAGGACTTCTCATTTATCATTTCTACAGCTAGATGCTTTTTAAACCCCCATCATCTGTATGTGTAGTAAGACATGCAAAATATAATCCAGCCATAAAAAGAGCCACATAAAAATACTTTTTTAAAAAAAGGAACATTAAGTCTCTTATCTTCAACTTGAGATAAATTACTAATTCATCAAAGCCGCGAGTCTCCTAAGTACCTTCTAATATCAGAAAGTATGAACAAAATTTTTATTGAAGGTACTATTAGCACTCTTTCAAAGAATGCTAATTCTGCCTTTGATTTTTGAATATTTATAAATAATTGTTTGGGTGTTGTTTTGCTTTTTTGACGAGAATATTTGCAGCAGTGCAGTACATTATGGGACTGATGTTCAATAAATCCAGTGGTAAAGTTTTGTATTTAACAAACAATAAATCAAATCAGAGGTACTTAAAAGAAAGTGCGTGTTTTCAATTAAGAAAAGGAAAAGTTGTCACCTAACATAAATCTTAGTTCCAGCATATTCTTTTTCTTGATAAGGTATTTTTTAATCTTGTAGATGACTTTTTGGTGCTTCATCTTGCTGACTTAATTCGCATGGCTTTTATGGCTGCCACAGATCACAGTGATCAGCTCCGTCTTTCTGGCCTTGAAACACTGTTGGTTGTTATTCGGCGATTTGCAACTATTCCAGAACCCGAGTTTCCAGGTCATGTGATTCTGGAACAGTATCAAGCCAATGTAAGCACTTTCGATTAGAGAATTTTATTATTAAACACCTGGATAAAGCATCTATGAAACTAATTGGCATGTCACCTCTTAATTCATAAGTGAAAATATATCTCTCTGCTAATGTATTACTAGTATAGTCAGTATATACAAAATGCATATGTTTAAAGAGAAATATGGCAGCTAATATTTTATAAAACTTCAAGTAAAAGCAAAATGATGTGTAAGTTTTTTATAACTTTGAAGGTTAATTTTCATAATTAAAACCGTCAGATTACTTTAAAAAATAATTTGAGGAAACAACCTTCGTAGTGAAATCCTTTACAAAATATCTGAATAAGCAGCATAACACTAAATCATTATTAAATATCCCATTTAGACTACATGTATGTTTTATCTTCAAATAACTGCTCCTAGAGTATAGTATTATATGTAACCTCCTTATTTTATTTTATTTTTTTCCTGGGCTTAGAAGAGGATTCAGGCTTCCATTACTGATTCTATACTTCTTTTAACCAATTGTGATTTGACTGGTACATTGAGTAATGTAGAAAAAACAAGGAAGATAACAAAATCATCACCTGTCTCGTAATCCACTAGCAGCACCCATCCGAGGATACCTCTTATGATTCAGCGGCACTTTCTGATGGCTAGCGGTTAGGGAGACCAGAGCAGTTTACAAGTTGGTTAGCCATCTCCTTCACTTCTTCCCAGAAGGTAGTGCCAATGTATGCTTAGGGAAAAAGCACAAGGAAGAGATTAAAGTTATATACAACTATCATATGAGAATAAATATTATAATTCAACTTAATTAAGGAGAGCCCTCATATTTTTTAGGTCTCTTACAATGGCAAGTGATAGAAACACAATTTCAACTCACTTAAAAAGAAAAGGAAAATTCTTGTCAGAAATCTCTCAGTTGGCTCTGCTTTCTGTTATATTGGCTTCATTCTCAGGCTTGCTCTCTCCGAGTAGTATCAAGATGGCTCTTATAAGAGACAATGCTTCTTTCCCAATACTTCATCAAAAATCCTGAGGAGAGCTTTCATTATCCCAGCATGAGTCCCTGGAGCCAGGCAGTGATGTCACCTCCATAACACAACATGGACTAAGAGTGGGAAAGAGAGAGAGTTCCCCAAAGGAAAAGTAGGATGCTATTAACTAAAGAGGAAACCCTGGTGGCGTAGTAGTTAAGTGCTATGGCTGCTAACCAAAAGGTCAGCAGTTCGAATCCACCAGGCTCCTTGGGAACTCTATAGGGCAGTTCTTCTCTGTCTTACAGGGTTGCTATGAGTCGGAATCGACTCAATGGCAACGGGTTAGTTGGTTGGTTTGGTTGATTACCTAAAGAAGGGGGAAGATATGCTGGGCAGGCAAAAGCAACAGATGTCCATAATACCTATTATAAACAAATAATTTTAAAATAACGTTAAAAAGGGAGAGAACTTGTGCTGTCTTACTTACTGATGCTTGATATGCCCTATTATTTCTTGCCAGGTAGGAGCAGCACTTAGACCAGCCTTCACTTCAGAGACACCACCTGATGTCACTGCCAAAGCATGTCAAGTAAGTGGGTAGAGAGATGAAGCTTAAGAAATGAAACCTTCTTCTCTTAGGAAGTAATTCTCCAGTTAGTGTTTGTTGTTGTTGTTATTGTGTGCCATCGAGTCAATTTTCACTCATAGCAACTCTATAGGACAGAGTAGAACAGCCCCATAGGGTTTCCTAGCCTCTCCTCGGTAGAAGGATGTGGCATTCTGCTTCCATAAAGATTTACAGCCTTGGAAACTCTTGAGACAGTTCTACTCTGTCCTCTAGGGTTGCTATGAGTCAGAGTTGACTCAATGGCAACAGATTTGGTTTGATTTTTTTTTTTTTTATATATATTCTTCATGGGAATAGATTGCCAGGTCTTTTCTCCTGTAAAGCGGCTGGTGGGTTCAAACCCACTCACCTTTCGGTTAGCAGCCAAGCACTTAACATTGTGCCATCAGGGCTCCTTTAGTGTTTATTACTAAGATTCTTGATTATAGTTGTTAACCATCTCTTTCAGCTTCACCTTTTCCTTTTCTTCTTAAGTTCAGAGAACTTCCTCTTTCTTCCTTAGAAATGCATGGCAGTCCAGTATATGAATTTAACTAGTTCCCTATTAATGGACATATGAGTTGTTTTGTCTTTTGCTGTTACAAACAGTACTGCAGTGAATGACCTTGTGCATGACATAAATTCCCCAAAATTAAATAGCTATGTTAAAGCGTATATTAAAGCAGTTGTACCAGTTTAAACTCCTACCAGCAATGTGTGTGAATACCTGTTTTGCCCATAGTCTCAGCAACATTGTGAGTCGTCACACTTTTGAATTTTTGTCTTTGTGATGGAGTAAAAAAGATATCTTAGGATAATTTTAGTCAATTCTTTCAACTTCCTTTTTTGTAATTGTATTTTAGGAAATAATTTGAGTGACTTCAATATTCAGAAAACTTTATTCAATGTTGTAAAGGACAGAAAGAAGTAAAACACATTTCCTGCTGTTAGAGACATTTATAGTCTATAAGGAAGGATAAGGCAAATACCTGTAATATTGAGCATACTAATAAATGTCGGTGATATCAGCAAAGTACTAGGGTTTCAAAGAAGGAAAATAAGGAGTAGTTTTAGGACATGCCCCATGTAGGAGGTGACATTTGATTCTTTTGAGTGTCTCTGTCTTTATAGTATTAAGATTATCTCACTTGCTTAGAAGGTGGCATTAGAGATGGGCCAAGGTAAACATGGGGTGGACATTCTAGATATAGGGCTTATGCTCAAAGGCAAGGAAATAAGTAAATTTTGTGTTTCAAGAACATCATCAAATCAGGAACATCACAACAAAGAAAAGTCTAGGACCAGATGACTTCCCTGCTGAATTCTACCAAACATTTAAGGAAGAATTAACACCAGTCCTACTCAAACTCTTCCAAAAATAGAAGAGAATACTTCCTGACACAGTCTTTGAGGCCAGCATTACCCTGATAACCAAAAATAGACAAACATAACACAAGGAAAGAAAACTACAGAGCAGTATCCCTTATGAAGATAGACACAAAAATCCTCAACTAAATACTAGCGGACTGAATCCAGCAGCAGATTAAAAGGATTATACACCATGACCAAGTCGAGATTTTTCCCAGGAATGCAAGAGAGATCCAACTAAGAAAATCGATCAATGTAATATACCATATTAATAGAACAAAGGGGTGGAGGGAACATGATCATCTCAAAAATGGAGAAAAAGCATTTGACAAGCTTTAACATTATTTCAAGATTAAAAACACTGAACAAACTAGGAATGAAGGGGAACTTTCTTAACATAATAAAGGGCATTTATGAAAAAACCCACAGTAAACGTCATGCTCAAGGGTGAAAGACTGAAAGGTTTCTTCCTAACATTAGGAACAAGACAGGGATGCTTGCTTTTGCTGCTGCTCTTCATCATTGTACTGGATGCCCTAGCCAGAGCAATTAGGCAAGAAAAAGAAATAAAAGGTATCCAAGTTGGAAAGTAATAAGTAAAAAACTATCTCTATTTGCAGATGACTGATTCGATATATAGAAAATCCTAAAGAATCCACACACACAAAAAAAACAAAAACCTACTAGAGCTAATAAATTCAGCAAAGTTGTAGGGTACAAGATCAACATAACAAAAATCAGTTGTGTTTCTATGTGCCAGCAATGAACAATCTTAAAAAGAAATTAAGAAAACCATTTGATTTACAGTAGCACCCAAAAGAAAAATACCTAGGAATGAATTTAACCAAGGAGATGAAAGACTTGTATACTAAAAACTACAAAACATTTCTGAAAGAAGTTAAAGACCTAATTAAGTGGAAAGACATCCCATATGCATGGATTGAAAGATTTAATATTGTTAAAATGGCAATACTACGCAAAACAATCTGCAGATTTACTGCAATCCTTATCAAAATTCTAATGGTCTTTGTTGCAGAAATAGGAAATTCAATCTTCAAATTCATATGGAATTGTGAAGAATAGCCAAAACAAAGTTGGAAGACTTAACTTCCCGATTTCTGAACTTAAGACAGAGCTATAGTAATCAAAACAGTGTGGTACTGGCATAAGGATAGACATATAGAATAGAATTGAGAGACCATAAAGAAACCCAAACAGCTATGACCAAATTATTTTCAACAAGGGTGCCAAGACCATTTGTTGACCCTGCTATGCTACACTGCCAAGCCAAGGTCTGGGGTTGCCAGCAAAAGCATGACTTACACATCGTACACACTGGCATCAGATGGAACAATGATTTACTCACGTAGAGGTGAGACAGAGCAAGGTCAGCTTCAGTAGCTGGTGCTGCTCTCCCATGGCCAGCGGGCCACACCGTACAGCCGATGTAGGTCTGCATGTACCCCACTGTGCCACAGTTGACTCAGTTCCCTCCCTGCCAGGAACAGACAGAAGCGGGTTGGCCATATGGCACCCTGTGCATGAGCAGAACAGGAAAGTTACTGTGTACCCAGAACAGGGAGGTGGCCTCCCTGATATGGAGAAGAATCTGGGAGAAAGAAAAACCAGTCCCCAGCCTCTGTTATCTGGGAATGCTTTGGGCCTAAGGCTTCTGATTAAGCAGTCCACATAGGAGTCAGAAGGCTGCACGATAGACTGCTTTCCCATTTTCCCACACCATTTAATGAGGAAAAAAATCTCTTCAACAAACTGTGCTGGGACCCAATTTGTTGAAGGATAACCACATGCAAAAGAATGAAGTTGGACCCCTACCTCACTCCATATATAAAAATTTACTCAAAATGAATTGATGACCTAAGTATAAGAGCTAAAACTATAAAAGAAGAAAGACTTCATCTAAAACTATTAGAAGCAAACATAAGCATAAATTTTAATAACCTTAGATTTGGCAAAGGATTCTTAGATTTGACATTAAAAGCACTTGCAACAAAAGAAGAAAGTAGATAAATTGGACTTCATCAACATTAAAAACTTTTGTGCATCAAGGAACGTTATCAAGAAATTAAAAAGACAGCCTACAGAGTGGGACAAAATATTTGCAAATCATTTATCTGATAAGAGTTTAGTATCCAGAATATATGCAACTCAACAACAAAAAGACAAACAACCCAATTTAAAAATAGGCAAAGGACTCGAATGACACTTCCCGAAAAGAGATATGCAAATGGCCAATAAACACATGAAAAGATGTTCAACATCATTGATCATTAAGGAAAAGCAAATCAAAACCACAATATGATACCACTTCACACTCACTAGGATCGCTGTCATCAAAAAGACCGAAAATAACAAGTGTTGGTGAGGATTTGGAGAAATTGGAACTCTTGTACTTTGCTGGTGGGAACGTAAAATGGTGCATCCACTGGGGAAAGCAGTTTGGATTGTGTAGAAAATTGTTAACTGGGAACCTAATTTACTGTGTACACTTTCAGTAAAAACACAATATTATTTTAAAAAAGCAGTTTGGGGGTTCCTTAAAAGGTTAAACATAGAATTAACATATAACCTAGCAATTCCACTCCTAGGTATATACTCGAGAGAAATGAAAATATATATTCACAAAGAAACATGTACACAGATGTTTACAGAAGCATTATTTATCATCACCAAAAGGTGGAAACAACCTAAATATTTTTCAACAGATGAATAGATAAATTATAATACATATATGCAATGGAATATTATTCAGCCATAAAAAAGAATGAAGTATTGATACATGCTAGTACTTGGATGAAATTTGAAAACACTATCTTAAATGAAAGAAGCCAGCCACAAAAGGTCATATATTTGTGTGATTCCTTTTATGTGAAACATCCAGAATTAAGCAAATCCATAGAGACAGAATGCAGATTGGTAGTTTCCAGAGGAGAGGGGGCAGGGGCAATGGGAAATGGTTACTTAAAGGGTATGGAATGTAGAGTTCTGAGAAAATGAAAAAGTTTTGAAACTAGAGAGAGAGATTGGTTGCACAACATTTGAATGAACTAAATGCCACTGCCTTGTACACTTTAAAATGTTTAATTTTATGTTGTGTGAAATTCACCTCAATTCAGAGATTGGGTTTTCCATTGTACTGAGTCTCTAATTTATCATCATTTATATGTATTCTTGCCATAAGCCACTGAAATCGTTTGTGAAAAAGGAGAGGAACTGAATAGATAGGTGGATGAGAAAAAATTTTCTCTAGAAAAGAAATATTTACCATCTGGAAAAGCCATATAGAGGCCCTGATAATTGAGTATACTTTCTTGCATTGCAGAGTTATTTTTTGTTTTAAAAATTAAAAATATATTATCTTCAAAAGAATCAAAGTCTTCATTGGGGTTTCAACTAGTTATATTAGTTAAGCACACACAATCTCTGATTTTAAAATAATGAGCTGAAAATTGATTGGAGATTTGATTCAGATGTTAATTCAAACGTTTATGAAAGTATTTTTCACGGCTTCATTGCTCTGTATTAATAACATCCATAACTCTTCAGTTTATGTAGTTGTTAGCACTGGTTTCCTTGTTTCAGCCTTACACTTCATTATCTTTTGAAATGCTGGCTTTTGACTATCATTATCAGCATCGTCCCATTGGGTTTCTTAGTAGCATAATGTTTTCAATGACTAGATTCCTGAGCTGTGGGTGACCTCTGCTGAACTCACATGGGAGATATTTATACTTTTTTGAAGTGTAACTTTTGATTTTCTTAAAAACCAGGTTTGCAGTGCCTGGATAGCAAGTGGAGTTGTAAGTGACCTTAATGATCTTCGAAGAGTTCATCAATTGCTTGTTTCATCATTGACAAAAATACAGGCTGGAAAAGAAGCTCTAAGTCATTTATATAATGAAAGTGCTTCTACCATGGAGATCTTAGCTGTGCTAAAAGCCTGGGCAGAGGTTAGTACTTCTCAATTTATAACTTAAATTTTGGAAGTTGTTAATAAACACCTTAAGCCATAAACTGTATTAACTATTTAGAACACATATCAGTATATTTTTACGGTTAACAAAGAACTTCCAATGTGAGATTTATTTATATGTCAATTGATACGTTGGTGAAGCGTCCAAAACCAAAAACCAAACCCATTGCCATTGTCATGGATTGAATTGTGTCCCCCAGAATATCAATTTGGCTAGGCCATGATTCCCAGTATTATGTGATTGTCCACCATTTTGTCATCTGATATGATTTTCCTATGTGTTGTAAATCCTAATTTCTGCCTATGGTTAATGAGGCAAGATTAGATTATGTTAAGGAGGATTAGGGTGGGATGTAACACCCTTGCTCAGGTGTAATCCTTGATCCAATGTAAGGGGAGTTTCCCTGGGGTGTGGCCTGCACCACCTTTTATCTCACAAGAGATAAAAGGAGAGGGAAGCAAGCAGAGAGGGGGACCTCATGCCACCAAGAAAGGAGCACCAGAAGCAGAGCATGTCCTTTGGACCCAGGTCCCTGCACGTGAGAAGCGCTTCAACCAGGGGTAGGTTGACGACAAGAACCTCCCTCCAGAGCCAGAAGAGAGAGAAAGCCTTCCCCTGGAGCTGATGCCCTGAGTTTGGACTTGTAGCCTACTAGACTGTGAGAGAATAACTTTCTCTTTGTTAAAGCCATCCATTTGTGGTATTTCTGTTATAGCAGCACTAGATGACCAAGACAGCCATCAAGTCAATTCTGACTCATAGTGACCTTGCAGGACAGAGTAGAGCTGCCCCACAGGATTTCCAAGGAGCAACTGGTGGATTCGAACTGCTGACCTTTTGTTTAGCAGCCAAGCACTTAACCACTGCACCACCAGGGCTCCCAATTTAAAGCAGCAACACTAATGAAGTTCTGAAGAATGCTCCATTGTCTATTATCTGCTGCTATAAGCAGAGAGACTTTATAATAGCCAATAAAAACCAACTCTTATTAAAATCTGAATTTTTGAAAATGTGAGTATGCTTGGATTCATATATCATTTTTATTATAATTATTACTATTATTAATAGACTTAATATTTTAGAGCAGTTTTAGATTTACAGAAAAATCATGGAGAAAGTATACTTGTTATGTTGCTGTCAAGTTGATTCCAACTCATAGTATCCCTATAGGACAGAGTAGAACTGCCCCATAGTGTTTCCTACACTGTAATCTTTACAGGAGCAAATGACCAGGTCTTTTCTACCAAGGAGCCACTGGGTGGGTTCAAACCACTGACTTTTCAGTTAGCAGTGAAGCACTTAACCATTGTACCACCAGGGCTCCTTAGAAAGTACAGAAAGTTCCTATACACTCCCTCTCCCCACACATGCACAGTTTTTTCCCATTAACTTGTATTAGTGTGATGCACTGATGAACCAATATCCGTAGTTTACATTAGGGCTCACACTTTGTATTGTATATGTATTTTGACAAATGTATAATGTCATGTGTCCACCATTACAGTATCATACAGAATTGTTTCACTGTCCTAAAAATGCTCTATGCTCCACCTATTCATTCTTCCCCCTTTCCACTGAGCCCCTGGCAGCCACTGATCTTTTTACTGTCTCTGTAGTTTTGCCTTTTCCAGAATGTCTGATAGTTGGAATCATACCGTATGTCATTTTAAAGTACTATACTACTGTTAAAAAAACCCGTTGCCATTGAGTCAATTCTGACTCATAGCGATCCTATAGGAGAGTAGAACTGCCCTATAGGGTTTCCAAGGAGTGGCTGGTGGATTTGAACTGCCAACCTTTTGGTTAGCAGCTGTAGCTCTTAACCACTGCACCACCAGGGCTCCATACTATTATAGTTCTACTAATTAACTAAATTTTATAGATCTAATTATATATATATATGGTATATATTGCAACTGAGAAAATTAATCAACATGTAAGAAAGGGCTTCCTGGAGACCTAGTCAAAATTTAATTAGTTGAACTATAGTACTATAGTACTTTACACACATACATACTAATAGTATAGTTTCAAATTAGTAGAGCTATTTAAAAGCTGAAGGTTGTAGAATTTCTGTTTTTTATAATTTTTTAGGGCTGACAACCCTTGGTTAGGAAGTAGTTCTGCCTAGATTTAATAAGCTGGATATAATGATCTTTTAAACGTATGCTTTTACTAGAGCAAACAGGAATTCTGTAATCTGTGTAATCTATTTTACAAATTTTTGGAATTCAGAATTTTTTGAATTTTAGAAAAGTAACACATACATATGTTGCAAAATACCTCCAGCAAGTCAGGGTCAATATAATGGAATCTGTAATCAAACATATCTGCAACAAAATATTTGAATATTCACACTGTGTGGAATAGAGAATATAAATAAGCCTATGCACACACACGCATACATACTTTCATATATATACATGTCTGTATCCCTTATCTGAGAGAGACTATAAATAGTCTCACATAAATTCATTCAGTTTTGCCACCAGATTAGTTTGCCACAAACTTAAATTTTCAGAGCTTTTTGAATTTTAGAGTTGTGGATAAAGGGATTATCTTAGTTATCTAGTGCTGCTATAACAGAAATACCACAAGTGGATAGCTTTAACAAAGAGAAAGTTATTCTCTCACAGTCTAGTAGACTACAAGTCCAAATTCAGGGCATCAGCTCCAGGGGAAGGCTTTCTTTTTGGGCTCTGGAGGAAGGTCCTTGTTGTCAGTCTTACCCTGGACTAGGAGCTTCTCTGCGAAGGAACCCCCGGGTCCAAAGGACATGCTGTGCTCCCAGTGCTGCTTTCTTGGTGGTATGAGTTCCCAGCTCTCTGCTCCCTTCCCTTTCCTTTGATTTCTTGTAAGATAAAAGGTGGTGCAGGCCACACCCCAGGGAAACATCCACTGGATCAGGGATGTGACCTGAGTGATGGTGTTACATCCCACCCTAACCCTCTTCAACATAATCCAGTCTTGCCTCATTAACCACAGAGGTTAGGGTTTACAAAATATAAGAAAATCAATCACGAAATGAAGGATAACCACACAATACTGGGAATCATGGCCTAGCCAAGTTGACAGATATTTTTGGGAGACACAGTTCCAGCCACAACAGGAATAATGCATATTACTTGAATGTTATTTGTTTGGAATCCGTTAATTTTAAATAGTTATGTACTACATTGACTAATTTAACGTTGTATAGTCCCTGTTACATTTGTAAACTCTTTGTAGTGATTTAGTGCTAAGTCTGAATGAAGATATTTTCAGTGTGTTGGCTTATTTCAGTTCAGAGATGGCTGCTTAGAGCCATGTGTTGTGATGGATTATAGGCCACAACTAGGCTTGGTGAGAAAGAGTGCCATGATCAGTTAATTTTATCTGTCATAGTTGAAAAAGTACAAAGTGGCAGCATATTTGCCAGGTATTTGTGATCCCTAATGTATCTCACTGAAGATAATATTGTTGGATCTTTCTACTCCAGTTTTTTGTGTGTGTGGTTGTTACATGTATGCCTACTTGATAGCACAATGCATTTCAAGTCCAGTATGCGCAAAGGTAAGTCTGCCTCTTCAGCAAGATAAAAATATTATCGCACCTTTTCAGTGTATGCAAAATTTTCCTATTTACAAATTAACCCTTAACAGGTCTACATAATTGCCGTAGAAAGACAAAAAAAATACAAACAGCCTTTGAAGACTGCCACTTGTTCAGAGGAGAGTGGCAGAAATGGGTCATTTTCGTCAGATGGACTGCTTGACTTAGTCCACACAGATCTTGGCACACTAAGTAGACTCTGGCTTGCTGCACTTCAGGATTTTGCTCTCTTAACTTTGCCTTCAGAATTTGCCTCCCAACTTCCTGTTGAAGGTAAGGAGGTAAAATATCTAGATAAACCCTAGAGTGTTGGTCAGTAACTTATATTTTCAAAAATTCTTCTTTGGCAAGTAATGTTTATCTGGAACATTTTCCCCAGAATAATTTTCATTCAGAGGATAAACATGTGAGAATTGCTTCAGGGTAAACACCTACAAACTGATTAACTGTAAGGCATGTACATCTTAACCTCAGAGGTTACTGCCAAATTGCAGTCCAAAGTGGCTGTAAGAGTTTACACGCCCACCAGCCACGTTTCTGTTTTTCCACACCTTCCCAACATTATATGTTATCATACTTAATAATTTTTGCCAACCTGATAGGTATGAAATAGTATTTCCATTGTTTTATTTTTTATTCCTTTGACTGAAGATCTTTTCATAGGTTTATGTGCGGTTTAAGTTTCTTCCATAAATGGCCTACTCATAATCTTTGCCCATTTTCTATTTGGTATTTGTCTTTTTCTTATTGATTTGTTAATTCTTTATATATTTTTAATACCCTTCTTTTCTGGTCCTGTGTCTTGTAGGTGTCTTCTCCCAGTCATTAGTTTATCTTTTCTTTCATTTTTCTACTTAAAGATCAGAAAGACTTGCAAGCTTTACAGTTTTGCTTTTTACATTTTTGAACTTTAATCCAACTTGAATTTGTGTGTTGAATGGGGATAGAGATCTAATTTTATAGACAGTTACTAATACCATATTTTACAGGTTGGATACACACTTATTCTTCTCCATGTTATTCCAGAATGTCTTAGCTATTATTGTTTCTTTACTCTCCAATATGAATTTTAGGATCAGCCTGTCAAGTTCTATTAGAATTTCGATTGGAATAATACACAAAGAGATATATAGAGTATCTATCGTAGTACTTTTCAATAGGATAAAAATGGAAACAGTGGAAATAAACTGATTCATTCATACAATTTAACAGCAAAAATGAATGACAGATATACGAACTTAAATCTCAGAAACATAATGTTAGGTAAAAATAGTAAGTTCAAAAGGATGCATATAGTATGATACCTTTTAAGTAAACTTTTAAATGTATAAAATAATATTATATACTTATGAATATATATGGAACCCTGCTGGCGCAGTGGTTAAGAGCTGTGACCGCTAACCAAAATGTCGGCAGTTGGAATCCACCAGCCACTCCTTGGAAACCCTACAGGGCGGTTCTACTCTGTCCTGTAGGGTCGCTATGAGTCGGAATTGACCCGACAGCAATGGATTTTGGATTTGATGAAATACACATTTACTTTAAAAATGTTTAAAACTAGACCAGACTTAATGGTCTGAGACTGGAGGAACCTCAGAAAGCATGACCCCTGGACTCTCTGTCAACCCAGAAATAAAACCATTCCTGAGGCCAACTTTTCAGACAAAGATTAGACTGGACTATGGGACATAAAATGATACTCGTGAAGAGTGTGCTTCTTAGCTCAAGTAGATACATGAAACTAAATGGGCAGCTCCTGTCCGGAGGTGAGATGAGAAAGCAGAGAGGGTCAGGAGCTGGTTGAATGGACACGGGAAATCAGGAGCGAAAAGGAGGAATGTGCTGTCACAGTATAGGGAGAGCAACTAGGGTCACATAACAATGTGTGTATAAATTTTTGTGTGAGAGACTAACTTGAATTGTAAACTTAAAGTACAACAATAAAATTTAAAAAAATAAAAAAATTTTTAAAAAATGTTTAAAACTATACTTCGGAGTGATTCACGCTGACTTGAGTGACTAGTGAAGGAGGGGCAAGAATTAGGGATATACCAAGATTTTGGTTTTTTTTAAGAAATAAAGTAAGAAATTTAAGAAAACAAGGCAAAATGTTATTGTCAGTCTTGGTGGTAAGTGGGTATCAGTGTTTTATATATACACACATATTTTGTTTTAAAATATTTTATGATTAAAAATTTAAATAAGAGTTAGTCTGCAAGTTTTTTATAAAATTAAAGGTGCATCAATCCTATAACTCAACATTGTCTGCTTGGAGAGATAAAAACATAGATAACAAAAATATTAATAACTTAGAAGCATGGATGAATCTCCAAAAGCATTGTTAAGCAATAAAAACCCAGTCATAAATGAATGCATACTATATGTTTCCATTTATGTGAAGTTCCATTTATATACATGAAGGCAAAGTTTTTGTAATAGTCTGACCCAGGGACACAATAGAAGGTCCCGGATAAAATGGAAGAAAAATGTAGAACAAAACTCAAATTCCTAAAAAAGACCAGAACTACTGAATCGATAGAGACTAGAGGGAACCCCCAAGACTGTCACCTTAAGATACCGTTTGAACTTGGAATTGAAGCTATTTCTGCAGGTCACCTTTCAGCCAAATAATAGATTGGCTTATAAAATAAACAATATCACTTGTGAGTATTGTGCTCCCTCTAATAATTAACTATGTGAGATCAAATGGTCAACATTTACACAAAAGCAAAGATGAGAAGGCAAGGAAGGGAAGGGAAGCTAGATCAATGTAAACAGAACAAACAGAATGGAAATAATGAGAAAATGCTGACACATTGTACAAATTATAACCAATGGCATGAAACAATTTGTATAAAAATTGTTAAAGGGGAACCTAATTTGCTGTGTCAACTTTCACGTAAAACACAATAAAATAATAATTTTTTTAAAAAAGTCTTTCATAATAAAAGTAAGTGGTTGCCTTGGGGTGTAGGGGACTGACTGGAAAATGGAAAAGGGTGCAAGGGAACTTCGGAGGGTGATAGAAATGGTCTATATCTTGTAACAAGGAAAAGAGAAAATGTATTGAAAACTGATCTCTTCGTTTATTCCTCCTCAAACTGTTTGCTTCCCCTTTTGGTAGGTGGTGCTTTCTACACAGCAGAGACTGGTGAAAATGCAAAATTGCATTATTACAACTCCTGGGCACTTATTCTCCATGCTACGGCATTGTGGCTTACAAGTACAGGCTTTGTTGTTGCTGACCCAGATGAAGGTGCATCTAATCTTTCAAGGCCTGTTACACCAACTTCCATGTGTCAAGGTTCATCATCTGGAGCTACAGTAAAGTCCCCTGAGGATGTCTACACTGATAGATTCCATCTTATTTTAGGTCAGTGAAAGAGCGTGGAGGGTTATCTTTGAGTTGCACCTCGCTGCCTATCAGCTCTTGGTGGCTATCACCCTACCACCCTGTCACCTTACTCTTTTTCTAAGACCCATGTACTATCCATATATGTTGTAAGTAACACACATGTGTGTGTACATGTGTATATGTAAAATACCAGTAAACTGAGGGGTCCCCCCCATTCTCAATATTTTCAAAGTTTGAGAAAGTACATTTAGTGATGCAAAATTGTAAGCAGATATTTAAAATGAAAGATTAACAAGATTTTTAGATTTATGGCATTTAACCCATTTTTTTACTTTTCTGGAACTTCACTTTTAAAGTAAAATATTTTTCTGGATAACAGAATGCTTCTAGAATAAACGGAATAAATGTTTTTCATATTTAAACTAATTCTGAGGAAACACACCATAAGATTGTTACTGGTTAAAAAAAAAAGTATTGATCAAATGAAATGTGAGGGTTATAAAGATAAATGATTGCATTATGTACAATTTATGGTTTACAGAATTTCTTTCCAGGCCAGGCGTAAGCAGATTTCATATATCCTTGTGTATATTAAATTTGTTTCCATTTGCCTTCGGAAGAGAGCATTTTAAAAAGAAACTATTACAGAATGAAGATTTGCAGAGTTATTATGAATACAAGTTGAACAGTTTGACAGAGTTCAAATTCTTGATGTGCCCCATTGTTACTGACCTTGAGCAAATTAAATTAAGCTGTGTATGCACATTCCCCTAATCTCAAAATGAGCGATAGTGATCGTTCCTGCTTCATCAGGTATTGTGAGAATTACATGAGATGATACACATAAAGCACAGTACCTGATACATAGTCATCACCCAATAAATTTTAGTCAAAGATTATAAAACTCTACAAGTTCTCTGGTACAATTTTTTTCTGATTTATGCATTGTTGAACTACTTCATAGCAAGTAAGCAATAGTGCACAAGCCTAGTTGAGATTATTCCTGTGTGCAGGTAAACAAAACAAACTACTAAGAAATTTGCCTTATCACTTGTTCAGAGTATTAATTCATTGTGTTTTTTTTGGGTTACCTTTCTGCTAAGATTATTTGTATATGTTATTATCAAATAGATTAATTATTTAACTTTGTAAACTAAGAATCTCAAAGAAGCCTCATTTTCTTTTTCTGCGTTCTACAGGAATCAGTGTGGAATTTCTATGCTCTTTGCGCTCAGATGCAACCATGGAAAGCATTACTGCGTGTTTACATGCATTACAGGCCCTTCTAGATGTTCCCTGGCCCAGATCTAAAATCGGCAGTGATCAGGTAATTTCTTGTTTTTTGCTAAGTTCCTGCAGATTTCAGGGAACAGACATATTCGGGTTACTTCAGTGAATAGAGCGAACACAGAAATGAGAAAACTAAGCAGCTGCACAGCGAGGCCTCAGAACTGTAATGCCATCAGCAGCTCTGGTTACCTGGGAGAAGTCCTGTCTCTGACTTGGACTCTTTCTGTCTCTGCTTCTATTGCTCTTACTTCTGCTGCCACCAACTAACCACCCTCTCTTGTTGTTGTTGTTGTTGCTATAGCAGCTCTTTATTCAGACGTTCTGTGGCGATGAGAAAGTTCTATATCTGCATTGTCCGAAACAGTAGTCACTAGCACATGTGGTTTTTCCTCTATGTCTCTCTCTGCTTCTGTGCACCCTGCTCTTCATATATATTTGTATCTTATGTCCCATTTCCGCAAGAGAAGATCTGACTGGTCTGTGTAGTTATTGTGTATTACAAAATATTGCTGTTAGGCTGAGTTCTTCCTCCAGGGCTTAAGAGACTTCTGGCCAGCCTATACATGGAATCAGGCACTAATCCCTGACCCAGTTGTGGCCATGGTAAAAAGTTCACTGTACAAAGTATGACACTTCCTTTGACAGCTTTTCTCAAGGGCAACTGTACATCGTGTATTGCCCAGTATATTAATATTTCATCATTGACTTTTGGGTATTAAGAAAAATGGGTGGTCTAATTTCCTCTCTCTATAGACTATCTGTGATGTAACTAATTAACACTGATTAAAGCATTAAGCAGGTTCCTACCTGACTTATCATGGATTTGAATACATTTTAAGCCTGAGCTTCGAACCGGTTCAAACCAGTTCAGTCATGGCTGACAAAACCAGAACGGATCCGAATTTTAACAATTTGGGTGACCCAAAACGGGTAAGATTATGAGTTGAAGCCCTTGAATGGGAGAATCAGAAGAGACTTAGTGACCCCTTTCAGGAGCCTGATGCATGAGATTGGATTATTGCCAGGACTGTGGGTAGCAGTGCACATTCATCTTGTTTGCGGGTACCGCTGTTTGCCACTCTGCGCAGATTCTGATGGACAAGAGATTTGGTTGCTATGCAACACATACGCAGCCCTTATTTTCTAAGAGGGAGATTAAGTTTCCAGCAGCGGGGCTTTCATCTATAGTTTTTCCCGTTCCAGTTCACCCAGATTCTAAAAGTTCAGGTCTGTTCTGGTGTCACTTTCTTGGCCATGACTGAACCGGAGAGAACCAGTTCAAAGCCCTGTTTTAAACTCTTTGTGCTTGTTTATCCTATATGTTAAAACAAGTATTATAATGTCATATTTACTGTTACTTTGGAAGATGAGAGTCACCAGAGTAAGCAATAGAAAGAGAAGGGAAACCAGAATAGTATTTGCCCAGTGTATTTTATTCTTTAGCGAGATATCCATTCTGTGCTTATTAATTTAAAATCTACTTTTAATGTCACATTCTTCACCCTCATTCTTTATTATTACTAAAAATCCTTAATATAAACCTGGGAATCTGCATAACAGCCCTGCATTCTTTTAGCCAAATTTCCTGTTTCATTTTGCAAATTTCCATTTCTTTTTTCCTAGTTTAGGACTGTGTCAAAATAATCTTCTGTCATAGTGCCATCTCCTGCAGTACTGGACAGAAACCAATCTGGAGATGGCCTAAAGTGGACCAAATAGATCATGACCTTATTTCAGAAACTAGCCACCCTAGTGTTTAGCTTTTCCTTTTTACTGTTAAGTATAATGAAGAGCATTAAATGAGATATTGTGTCATAATGATTCTAAAACTTACTCTAGGAAAACTTAGCCAGTGTTTTAAAAGAGACTAATAATTTAAGAAGGAGCCCTGGTGGCGCAGTGGTTAAACACTCAACTGCTAAGTGAGAGGTCGGCAGCTTGAACCCACTAGCCGCTCCGTGAGACAAAGATGTGGCAGTCAGCTTCTGTGAAGATTACAGCCTTTGATTTGGTGAAGGGTAAGACAGTACACAATACTGGGGAAGTCGGCACAGCTTGAGCAAAGCAAAGTCGTAGAAGCTTCATCGACACATCCAAACTCCCTGAGGAACTGAGTTACTGGGTTTAGGACTGGGGACCATGGTCTCAGGGGACATCTAGCTCAATTGGCGTAACATAGTTTATAAAGAAGATGTTCTACATCCTGCTTTGGTGAGTAGCGTCTGAAGTCTTGAAAGCTTGTGAACAGCCATCTAAGACACATCTACTGGTCCCACCCTGTCTGGAGCAAGGCAGAATGAAGAAAACCAAAGACACAAGGGAAAGATCAGTCCAAAGGACTAGCAGACCACAACTACCACTGCCTCCACCAGACTCAGTCCAGCACAACTAGTTGGTGCCCAGCTACCACCACCAACTGCTCTGACAGGAATCACAATAGAAGGTCCTGGACAGAGCTGGGAAAAAATGTAGAATGTAATTCAAACTCACAAAAAAGACCAGGCTTACTGATCTCATAGAGACTGGAGAATGCCGTAGAGTATGGCCCACAGATAGCCTTTTAGCTCAGTATTGCAGTCACTCCTGAGATTCACCCTACAGCCAAAGATTAGACAGGCCCATAAAACAAACAATAACACACGTAGTTCATCCGTGTATACAAGACTAAATGGGCACACCAGCCCAGGGACAAGGACAAGAAGGCAGAAAGGGATAGGAAAGCTGGACAAATAGAAATGGGGAACCCAAGGTCAAGAAGGGTAGAGTGTTGACACATTGCAGGGTTGGCAAGCAGTGTCACAAAACGTGTGTATTAATTGTTTAATGAGAAACTAATTTGCTCTATAAACTTTCACCTAAAGCACTATAAAATAAAATTTAAAAAAAGATTACAGCTTTAGGAACCCTATGGAGCAGTTCTACTCTGTTGTATAGGGTCTCTGTGAGTCAGAATCTACTTAACAGCAGTGAGTTTAAGGAGCCCTGGTAGTGCAGCAGTGGTTAAGCACTTGGCTGCTAACCAGAAGGCCAGTGATTTGAACCTGCCAGCCACTCTGCAGGAGAAAGATGTAGCGGTCTGCGTCCATAAAGATTTACAGCCTTGAAAGCCTATGTGGCAGTTTGGTCTGTCCTGTAGAATCACTGTAAGTCAGAATCTACTCAATTGCAGTAGGTTTCGTATTTTGTTTTGGTTTTAATAATTTAAGGTCACCTATATTAATTTGTGAAGTGGGAGGTTTTTGTTTTTATCATTATCATCTCCATTAGAAACTAATAGCACCTTTATTTTCTGTTAATAATTTACAGTGGCACCCCCTTATCCAAGTTTTCACTTTCTGTGTTTTTAGTTACCTACAGTCAACTGCAGTTCAAAAATGTTAAATGAGTAGTAGCATGATGAAATCTCACACCATCCCTCTCCATCATTCACATAACTTTTTTTATAGTATATTGTTATAATTGTTCTAGTCTAGTATTAGTTATTGTTAATCTCTTAATTTACAAATTAAACTTTATCATACATATGAATTTATAGGACAAATCATCATATATGTAGGGTTCGGTACTATCCTCAGTTTCAGGCATCCATGGGAGGTATTGGGAGATATCCACTGCGGATAAGGGGGGACTACTGTATTCTCTTTCTGAATTTTGCCATGGCATTCAATATTGTTATGTTTTACCAAAAAAAAAATAGTATGTGATTTCCAATACAGTGTCCCCTAAATGTTTTCTGTGATAGGACTTGGGTATCGAGTTGTTGAATGTTCTGCATCGAGTAATTTTGACCAGAGAATCACCTTCCATTCAGTTAGCTTCGCTTGAAGTGGTAAGGCAGATTATATGTGCAGCTCAGGAACACGTGAAGGAGAAAAGAAGAAGTGCAGAAGGTGAGTATTATTCTTAATGCTAAATTAATCACATAGCATTATTTTTAAAAGCATTGCTTATATATCTACATAGTTATGATATTCTGTTGTGTGTAGCACAAAACAAACATCTCTAGACATGGCATCTAAGTCCTTTCATTCACCTCTGCATGTTAACTTGAATAATTGTCAGTAGCTAAGCAACTATTCTTTGGGAGAAGAAGAATTTTAACAAAACCTGAAGGAGCTGGGGATCTTTTATATTAATAGAGTACTTGCTTTGGCTACAAATGTTTACCAATGTACCTTAAAAGAACTACTGACAACTTTTTAATTAATTAGATTTTGCACACTGATTAAATTGCTCTTTTACAAATCTAATTTTGATATTGGTGAGTTTTATCATTCAAGGGTATGTTTGACTACATATAATAGAAAACCCAACATAAAAGTCGATTAAAAACACAAGTATTTATTCTCTCATGTAGAAGGCCAGAGATAGGCAGTCCAAGACTGGTATGGCAGCTTCTTGAAGACATCAGGTACCTAGGTTCCTATTTTTCTGTCCTGCTGCTATCCACACTTCAGGTCACAAGGTCATTGCTGGAGCTCTAGCTGTCAGATTCACTTTCTAAACAACAAGAAGGAGTTAACTAGACAATATTTTAAGGCTTAAAAGGTTACCAAGGATTTCTTTTGATCCACTGCAATAACAAGTTATAAAGACAGCTACTTTTACCACTATAACTGCTTCTCCTTCAAGCTTTAACACCCAAGACTTCAGCCATTTAAATGTGTTGCCTATCACAGAAGTGCACTAAATTGCCATTGACCAAAAGCAAAGCAAACACAAAGTATTTATTCAACACTGTTATTTCTCTCTTTTAGTTGATGATGGGGCTGCTGAAAAGGAAACCCTGCCAGAGTTTGGAGAGGGAAAGGACACAGGAGGACTTGTGCCTGGGAAGTCTTTGGTCTTTGCAACACTGGAATTGTGTGTATGCATTCTAGTTAGACAGCTCCCAGAACTAAATCCTAAACTGACAGGTAGCTCAGGAGTAAAAGCTACAAAGCCACAGATGCTATCAGAAGATGGAAGTAGATTGGTTTCAGCTGCATTGGTTATTCTCTCTGAACTTCCTTCAGTGTGCTCTCCTGAAGGTATGCTGTGGTATGTGATTGCTATACTTGACCTAGACTAGAAGGAGGGAAATAGTTTTAATAGGTAATGAAACCTAGTTGTTAATCCTTTTCTCATTAAATTAATGTTGACCCAAAGATTTGAATATTGTTTTTAATCCTCAAAGATTAACATTACATTCTAGTAATTCGTTTTACTAAAAGGGTGAAAGTAAATCCAGAGATCGCAAGAACTGTAGATAGATATGCTCTTCTGTGACTGATAATGTTTTAAACCAGTCAATGGCAATTGTTAATTCTTGGGCATGTTTTGGTATACCATCTCTAGTGGACTTTGCCTGCTTCGGTGATGACAAAAGTTTGTCATCATAGCCAGTTCTGTTTGGAATCAAGTCCATATTCTTTAAGATAGCATTTAAATTTCCTCCCTATGGCTGTGCTGCATCATTACCTCCTCCTAATTGCTTCTGTGGTAATCATATACCCAGAAGACTTCATGTTTATCCCCGTTTCTGTGCTGTTGTCCATGGTGTTACTTGATCTGAAATGACCTGTCCCTTCTCTGCTTTTTTAAATTTTGCCTTCCTTCAAAGTTCAACTCCAGGCCTACCTCATCCATGAAGGCTTCCCTAAAAACACTAGTTCACACTGAGTTTTGTTTTTTCACATATGTACGTATGATGCTTCTATATGTAGATACGTAACTTTTATATGTCATATACCTGTTACCCATTGCTGTAGAGTCGATTTCGACTGATAGCAACTCTATAAGACAGAGAAGAACTGTCCCATAGGAATTCCAAGGCGGTAATCTTTAAGGAAGCAGACTGCCACATCTTTCTACTTCATAGCGGCTGGTGGGTTCAAACTGCTGACCTTCTGGTTAGCAGCCAAGCACTTAACCACTGTGCCATGAGGTCTCTTTTGTATATCATATAGAGGCATTATATGTAATTGATTATTATATAGAGAGAAGATATATGCAAACATGTATGTCTTATTTCCAACTAAATTCTGCATCCCCCAGGGAATCTAGCATGTAACAGGTACTTAGTAAATATTTATTAATTAGAAAGTATATTTCTACTTGAATGTATCTTGACCAATTGTGGGTGCTATCTTATTTTTAGCCTTATGACTTTAAAGTTCAGTCTGAATTAAAACCTGTACTCCTTGTTCTCACACACTCAATTACACTAAGAGTGGCAGAAAAATCATTAGCAGATGATTAGGGTTAAAAATATACTGTATGAGTTTTGTTGAGCAGCATCTGAGAAAATTAAATTGTTTTAGCTTTAGTCTCTTCCCTTTCATTTTAAACTTATAATTGATTTTTCAACACCTTTGTGGCCATGAAAATATTTTGTACTGAGTGGACCTCTACAAATTCCTTGAAAAAATAATTTACAATTCAACATGTGTCATCTTCCAAATAAAACAAAATAAGACAGAAAAAGCATAGTGATACTAAGTGATACATTTTGTGTCACTTTTGTGTTAGCTATTTATCTTTTTGATTTCAGATTAATAAACGACGGATGGAGTATTCCCAGACATCATTGCTTTCAGTTCTAATTTCTAAAGGAGATATTTTACTCTTTTTCTAAATAATTCCATGAATTTTAGATTTTTTTTAGAATTATTTAAATAACTTCTCCAATTATAATAATCAAAATTTAATCCAGCCTTAAAAATCCTAATGAAGTTATTTAAATTATCATTAACAACCAACCGCTCTGACTGGGATCACAACAGAGGGTCCCCGACAGAGCGGGAGAAAAATTGCAGAATGAAAAATCAAATTTACAAAGAAGACCAGACTTACTGGTCTTACAGAAACTGGAGGAACCCCCTGAGACTATGGACGACCTAAAACACCCTTTTGAACTGGAACTGAAGCCATTCCTGGAGACCACTTTTCAGCCAAACCATAGACAGGCTCCTTTGAACAAGCAATTATACGAGATCAAAGGGGCAACATTCGTCCAAAAGCAAAAATGAGAAGGCAGGAAGGGGTAGCAATTCAGGAGGAAAAGAAATGGGGAACCTAGAATGGAAATGGGGGAAGTGCTGGCACATTGTGAGGAATGAAACCAATGTCATGGAACACTTTACATACAAACTAATTTGCTCTGTAAACTTTCACCTAATACACAATAAAAAATTTTTAAAAAAGCTCATCAGCCATAGGGGGTAGAAATAATAAATTATCTTAACAGTTATAATCCTTTGCAAGAAATAATCTTAAAAACTAGAAATCTTTGACATTGTCTTATTCATGATTTCTCATGAGTAAGATTACTCGTGATTATTCATATGTAGGCTGAAATGCAGAGTGTTTTTAAAAATATGTCTTATCTTACAGGAAGCATCTCAATTCTTCCTACTATACTGTATCTCACAATTGGGGTCCTCAGAGAAACTGCTGTGAAGTTACCTGGGGGCCAGTTGTCTTCAACGGTTGCAGCTTCCCTACAGGCTCTGAAAGGAATATTATCTTCTCCCATGGCCCGAGCAGAAAAGAGCCATACTGCTTGGACTGACCTTCTCCGTAGTGCTCTAACAACAATTCTTGACTGCTGGGATCCAGGTAACTAAGGCTCTTTGGAAGCAGTCATTCGGTTTGAAAAAGCAGGAGGGGCAGTTTTTTGAGGATAAGCAATTTACTTGATCCTATTCGGCAACCTGTCATCTGGAGGAGATCGTGTTCAGTACCTGTGGTCAGAAGATATGTATAAGTGAATAGAAAATATCTGTGTTCTTATTTTAGTATCTTTAACCTTTAAAGGGATTAAATGACTGGCCATCCTATATGTTAAGTTGACATTGAGAGACCTTCAAGTGTCATAAAACCAAAAAAGCCAAACCCACTGCAATGGAGTCAGTTCTGACTCATAGCAACCCCATAGCGTTTCCAAGACTGTAAGTCTCTATGGAAGCAGACCGCCGCATCTTTCTCCCGTGGAGCCACTGGTGGTTTCAAACCACTGACCTTTCAGTTAGCAGTCGATCCCTTTAACCACTGCGCCACCAGGGCTTCTTTGAAGTATCATAGTATGTTTATTATCCTTACGCCAGCATTTACTAGCTGTGTGACTGACCAAGTTACCCAACTTCTCAGAGCCTTAGTTTCCTCATTAACAAAATAAGGATATTATGTTGCAGGAAATTGTTAGAGCAGTAACATAATATATGAAAAGCATCTAGCTTATTACTTGACATATATCATTAAATGATAGCGAGTATTATTTTCAGTATCCAATAAAATTTGTTTTTTCTCGTTGTTATGTGGGTTTCGTTTTCAGCAGTATGTTATAGTGATTATAAAAAGTCTTTAGACATATTACAAATTATCCCTGCCTGCCTTGTTCTATCTATAAATGTCACAATTCACAATATCCAGTTTCATGTGGTGAAAAGTTTTCAGTTGAATTCAGCATTTATTGACTATCCACTTTGTACCAGAAGTTGAGAGTTTAGTAGAGCCTGGTGCCTGTAAATTGCTGTAGGGCATGGTCAACATCATAAGAAGCTCCTTGAAGGCAATAATAATGTCTTTATCTCAGGGAATCAGGTGGAGTATCTCTGGTAGGGTTCTCCAGAAGCACATGGCCAAGATGCAGTTTGGGGAGCAAGAAGCTTATTAAGGAACAACACCTGTGAAGGAAAAGGTGGGATAGCAACATTGGGTAAAAGACCTCAAACTGCAACGCAGGCCCCCAGCAAAGCTTCAGCGTACCTGTCAGGAGCTCTGGAGCAAATATTGGCCCGTCACAGTGTCTCTCGTAGGACAGAAATGCTCCACCTTGGATACTGGCTGCCTCAGGAAGAGTGTGATCTCAGGCAAGGCGCTTCTCTGTAGCTGAGGCAGAACCTGAAGGAGGTAACAGCTGACTGCACTCCCTACATCTGAGGAGCACATCCTCCCTTGAAGAGGGTCTCAGTGGTGCATCTCTGTATCTACCACAAGAGGCTTCTTAGAAGAGTCAGTTTCTTAAAGGATGAGAAAGCATTCTCCATGTGGATGTCACAGAAATGAACCCTAGGTACAAGTTTGATCAAAGTCCTGGAGATACAAATAGTGTACATTTGTGGACAGCAAGTAGAGCAATGACAGTGTGGTTTGGGGAGGAAAGAGTAGGAGGGTGCTGAATGGTGATAAGTAGAGAAAGAGATGAATTTGTATGGTACAGGGGCCAGATTATGGAAGGTTTGGCATGCTTGTAATTTGAACTTCCTTTAAATAGGCAAGGGTGGAATCATTCAGGAGTTTTAAGTAGGGGGACACTGTGTGGAATTTGCATTTCTAAAGAATCACTGGCAGCAGTGTAGAGAAGAAAGCAAGACTGTTGAATGTAAGATAGTAGTAGTAAGGATAAAGAGGAGTAGACTGATAAAAAAAATAAAATGTTAAGCATGTGTCAGCAGAGTTTACTGATAGTTTGGTTTAGGAGTTAAAAGGGTAGGGTGACTTGGGCACCCATGGTGTCAGTAACAGAAGTGAGGGTTTTCAGGGGAAGAAAGTTGAGTTTGAAATGCCTGTGGGATAATCAGATGGAGCAGAATATATAAGTGGTCTGGGCTAGAGATGATTTTGGACTATAATATTTGTGAGTTGTCAGCTCAACCTGTGAAATAAACCAGCTTGAGTTTACGGGAGTTTATGGAACAAAAAGACGACCAAAATCAAGAGGAGAGAATCAAAAGATAATACAGTTGCAGAAGCCAAAGAAAAGAGAGTTTTAATAAACAGAGTCAGCATTGTAAAATACTGCAGAGAAGTCAAATAAATATAGGAAGTATAGCTCATGGTGTTGAGGTACAAATGAGAGGTGAGGAGGGGAGAAGATCAAGTATAGACTTGAGAAGAAGAGAAACAGCTGAAGGAATTTTTTTTTCTCAGTATGAGATTATAGCATGTGTTCATACTTACGGAATAAAGAAGGTGGAGATGGGGTGGGAGTTGGAAATATTAGAAGGAGAAGCAGAGTCCCTGTCTAAGCAGAAAGGAATAGAATTCAGAGCACATTTAGGATTGGCCTCTCCCAGTGTGAGAGGAAGAAAAAGAGATAAGGATGGTGTCTTAGACATCTAGTGCTATTCTAACACAAATACCACAAGTGGATGGCTTTAACGAAGAGAAATGTATTTCTTCACAGTAAAGTAAGCTAAAAGTCCAAATTCAGGGTGTCAGCTCCAGGGCAAGGCTTTCTTTCTCTGTCTGCTCTGGAGGAAGGTCCTTGTCGTCATCAGTCTTCCTCCGGACTAGGAGCTTCTCTGCCCAGGAACCTCGGGTCCCTCAGGTCCAAAGGACATGCTCTGCTCCTGGTACTTCTTTGTTGGTGGTGTGAGGTCCCCAACTCTCTGATTGCTTCCCTTCCCTTTTATCTCTTGTAAGATAAAAGGTGGTGCAGGCCACACCCCAGGGAAACTTCCTTTACATTGGATCAGGGATGTGACCTTGGTAAGGGTGTTACAGTCCCACCCTAATCCTCTTTAACATAAAATTACAATCACAGAATGGAAGACAACCACACAATACTGGGAATCATGGCCCAACCAAGTTGACACATATTTTGGGGGGACACAATTCAATCCATGACAGATGGGAAGTAATAGAAGTTTTTATGTAGAGGGTTATGATGAGCTTGCCTGTTTTAAAAAAAAAAAAAAAAAAAGAGGTTATTTTTGTTATGTGTCAAGGAATGGGGTTAGGCTAGGACCTTGAGAAATTATCCTTACTACTGAAAGAAATTAAAGGAGTTAATCGTGACAGGTAAAATGTTTGCTGTGTGACATTTGCTGCAAAACTTAGTGGCTTAAAAAAACAAGGCTCTACTATCTGATAGTTTCTGTGGGTCAGAAATTCAGGAGCAGCTTAGCTAGGTGGTTCTGGGTCCGAGTCTCTCATAAGGTTACTGTTAAGATGATGGCTGAGGTGGCAACTAGAGAATCCTTTTCCAAGATGGCTTACTCACGTGGCTGTTGGCAAGAGGCCTCAGTCTCTTACTGTCTATTGGCAGGAAGTCTTAGTTCCTTATCACATAGACCTCTCCATAGAAATAAATGCTTAGGGGCCCTTGCATGTATTCTAAGTAAAAGAGAATGGGAGTAAGGGAATTTCACAGGGGCAAGGAGATAAAGGAATTTTAGAGGAAATGGAAAAGGAACCCAGGAGAGCTTCATCTCACTGAGTAAAAAGACATTTTTACCAAGCAGACTAGCTGACTATGCTACAGTTTCAGGTTGCTATAAATGACTAAAAGTAACTTTGCTATATGCGAATCAGTGTAGCATCATGATTAACAGTACACTGTCTAGAATCAAACTACCTACCTTACTAATTGTGTAACCTTGGACTAATGACTTAATTTCTGATTCCCAGTCTCTTACCTATAAAACCAGGGAAATAAGGGTACCTATCTCATGGTGTTGTGAGGATTAAATATTTAATGCATATAAGGTGCTTATAACAGACCCCTGGTGGTGTAGTGGTTAAGATTTCGGGCTGCTGACCAAAAGGTCAGCAGTTCAAATCCACCAGCCGCTCCTTGAAGACCCTACGGGGCAGTTCTACTCTGTCCTATAGGGTCAGTATGAGTCGCAATCAACTCGACAGCATCGAGTTTGGTTTTTGTTTTTGTTTTTGTTTTTTTAACAATGCTATCATAACTTTAAAAGTTAGCCATTTATCTGTTTTACCGTAAAATTATTCAGATATCTTCTATAAAATGAATCCCATTCATAAGGTTTTTCTTTCATTGCTGCTCTGTCACTCAACTGTCAACTCCGGTATTACCCTCCCCAAGGTGTCCCTGACAAGCCAATATAGACTATCCTCCTCTGTTACTTTCTATTGTCTCTTAATATTATTTTATATTCATAGACGTTATCACTAGCTGAAGTTAAATTTATTGCTTCCTAGTTTATAGTATATCTCCTCGTCTGAAAGCAGACTTTAAGTTATATGATATTTCCAAAGCCTAAGAGAGTGCCTGGCACATACTTGATGTTTCTTAAGTATTTGTTGAATGACTGTTACTAAAGTTACTATAATAATACGTCATTTCTCTGTAAGCAACAACCTATTCTTACACAATTAAATTGGTTGAATTTGCCACACCTTTTTCTTTTCAGATAACACTGATTTTCATAGCAAGTTCGTTAAAATTATCTAATGAGCCTATGACTTTAGAAAATGAATGCAGTTTATTTCTAAGAAACAAATTCCCCCTCTCCAAAATGATTGTGACCTATGCACTTATTTTCAGGTTTTCCTTTACTGTTGAGAAATGGTATGTGTAGACAAAGTGCTAAGGTATTTTAAGTTGACGTACATATTAGCAAAATATAAATGCTTTGAACTTGACAAACAAGAATTGTCCAAATGTTTCTGTATTACTCTATAATAAAAATAATAACATAATAGCTTAGCTAACATGTATTGGGAAACCTGGTGACATAGTGGTTAAGAGTTCAGCTGCTAATAACCAAAGGGTCGGCAGTTCGAATCCACTAGGTTCTCCTTGAAAACGCTATGGGGCTGTTCTAGTCTGTACTGTAGAGTCACTATGAGTTGGAATCAACTAGACGGCAGTGGGTTTTTTTTAACATGTATTGAGCACTATGTGCCACATGCTATTCTAAATGCTGTATGTATGTCGATTAACTCATTTAATCTTTATAGCCCTATAAAAGTAAGTACTGTTATTCCCATTTTACAGATGAGAAAACTGAAGACAGAAAGGTTAGATGTCCAACTAGTAAATGTATATTCCTAGTAAGTGTGTATATGTATTTACTGATATCTTTGCCTTCGAAGATTATAGTTACTATAGAGCCCTGCAACATTTGCCAGGGTTCTTACAATCAGTCAGTCAGTGTTCATCATCTCTGTCTGCTAGATGAAACTGTTACTACCAAACTAGAGACAGCTTCACACAGATGCAGTGTAGGACTCAGGCACCCTTGTCCTGATACAAAGCAGCAAGTGTGGCAGTATTGGAATCTGTTTCTAATAGATCATTTCTCCTTAGTAGATGGAACACATCAAGAACTTGATGAAGTCAGTCTACTTACTGCTGTGACAATATTTATTTTGTCTACCAGTCCAGAAGTAACTACTATCCCATGCCTTCAGAAACGCTGTATTGAGAAATTTAAGGCTACTCTTGAGATGAAAGATCCTGTGGTAAGTATCTTTAGCAGAGAGAGGTCTGTAATAACTATATTTAGGCTTCTGCAAAATTTTGGTTTTGGATTTTGTTGGCTCCAACAAGAAGTACCAGACTAAAAATTTTTTATTTTTAGATTTGAGGTTAATTCGTATTCTTGAAGGGACAGAGGCAGAAATAATAATGTTCTAGTTCTTTGGCCCTTAAGGTAGAAAGTAGTGGGAGAAAGTTGGAGAGAGGAAATGTTAAAAAAAAATAATTTGAAATGGAGGCATCTTAAAATTGATGTGTCTCTAGAACTTTACAAGGAACTTTTACAAGCTATATTGTACCTTCCTATAGTGGATTTCCTACAAAAACCCAAAGGAAGACTCCAGTGTATGCCTTCAGTAATGTGACTGTGAAATAATGAGACCCATTTCAAAAACAATACATAAATTGACCCCATTTCTTTATGGCCTCTTCATTTGCTAGATTAATTTCCTATTCTATATATGTTTGCAGCACATAAACAAAAAAACAAACCCATTGCCGTCCAGTCGATTCCAACTCATAGCGCCCTATAGGACAGAGTAGAACTGTCCCACAGGGTTTCCAAGGAGCACCTGGTGGATTTGAACTGCCGACATTTTAGTTAGCAGCCAAGCTCTTAACCACTGCACCGCCAGGGCACATAATATATATACAATGAGTTAGTAGCACATGATCACAAATATATCTGCTCCTAAAGATGTTGTTGTTCTTATTTGCCTTGAAGTCGGTCCCCAGCTCATGGCAGTTCCATGCACAAGGGAACAAAATGCTTCCAGGTCCTATGCCATTCCCATAATCAGTTGCAAATCAGTTGCAAATCAGACTGTCTGTTGTGGCTTCTTAGGGTTTTTATTGGTCAATTTTCAAAAGTAGATCGCCAAGCCTTTCTAAGACTAATCCGTTCTACTCTGGAAGCTCTGCTAAAACCTGTTCCGCATCATGCAACACGCAAGCCTAAAGGTACAGGAACCAGATTTTCTCCCAGAAAAAAAATAATCCTTCAGATACCATAGCCATTAACTAAAGGATGATTTATGTATTTGATATATAGTCATTTCCTTTTATCCTTCTGTTGCCTGTTGGCTCGCAGGAGCTTTATGTAGCAGTCTCCAAGTGGTGGATCCGGTATGCGATGATACGAAATTAGTATGGTCCAAAAGTGGTTTCTTGAGAACTTCAGGCCATTTAAACATCAAATATATGTGATTGTTGCCTAAAACGTTTTCTGAAATCTTAAAGATATTTCTCAAGGTTTTTTGGAGGGCCTTTTTGTTTGTTCTTTACAGTATAGAATCAAAGACATGAGGGGGAAAACAGGAACTAGAGAAAAGAAGAAAAATTAATCACAGTTATCCTTCCCTGTCGTACCCAATGTCTCTATGCCCACTCCAGACTGTTACCATTGTCAGCATGCTGGTTTGGAAAGCTGTTAGCACCTGGACTTTGTTGTAGGGGGAGAACATCACAAAGTCTAGTAAAGCAAAAAGTTTTATTTGGCATATATTCACAAAGGCAAAAATGGGGAAACGGACATCCATGCTGCCAGAGCCATGTCTACCCGAGTCCAAGGAAATATCACAGAACACTCGAAAGTGGGAAAACAGATAAGCATGCTGCTAGAGCCATGTCTGTCCAAGTCCAAAGAATATTACAGAACAGGCAAGAATGGGAAAACAGACAAGCATGCTGCCACAGCCATGTCTGCCCAGTCCAAAGACCATTACAGAACCATCAGTATATATTAACATTACAAATGGGCAAAATCATTGAAAGCTTAAGCCTTTTCAGATTGGCTAGAAACTGTGATCCTACATTTTCAATCATCTTTCTTAACAATCATTGATACAGGTTTCAGTAATGAGAGTCAGGAGAGTCTTCACTGGTCCAACAAATTTCTATTCACTAAATGCTAATAGAAAAAGCTAAGGATGGAAAGTCTTTTGTGTTCTGTTTGATTGGCTTTATGTGAAAGGTTCCCTAAAAGATATTTTCTAAGATTATGTTAGCTCAAGTCTTTATATCTCAGGGCCCAGTTGATGTGTCCTTGTGAGTCCTTGTGAGCCCAGCTCCAGCTGTGTCACATTCTCTATGCTCAAGGAGTGGGAGTAAAAACTCCAATATTATTTCCTAAATTAACTTCCAAAATTAAAGATAAATTGGAAGTAAATTTAAATAGCTTTGCTGCTTTATCTGTGAAGAGTCCTCAAGGCCTTTTATTTATTTATTTTCTTAATTGACATTTACAGTTTATATTATTTTTGTCTCTTACCTCATTAGGTACAAATCAAGACCTATCAGCTCCTACTTTCCATTTTTCAGTATCCGAACCCAGCTATTTCCTACCCATACATTTACTCCTTAGCATCATCTATCCTGGAAAAACTGCAGGAAATAGATGAGAGAAGACCTGAAGACACTACTGAACTTCAGATCTTTCAAGAAGGAATAAAGGTCTTGGAAGCACTGGTGGCCGTAGCGGAAGAAAAGCATCGTAAGTGTCAGCACAAAATTCACACTAAATACAGAATCTCTCCAAACTTTGCAATTCTGTTGTTTTGAAATAACTATTAGAAATCAGAATTTTAATGTTGTTTTAAATGAAGTAAAATTTAAAACATTTAATTAGTCACTTCATATTGTATGTATTTCACATTCGTTGAAAAGCAGGTGTTATTTTAATCTCAAGTACTGATACTAATTATTAATTTGGGAGAAGAGATTGGAAAAAATTGTTTTCCCCAAAGTGGGAGAAAATATGTACCGATGGAGTACTTTTGTTAACTTTATATAGTGAACATTTATATCCCTGAACCTAGGACTTATATCATTTGTTTACTTTCTAGGCTCTCAGCTGGTGGCTTGTCTTCTGCCCATCCTCATTTCCTTTCTTTTGGATGAGAATACCCTGGGGTCAGCAACTCCCATCATGAGAAATTTACATGACTTTGCTTTGCAAAATCTCATGCAGATTGGGCCTCGGTATTCCTCAGTTTTTAAAAGTTTAATGGCTTCTTCTCCAGCCTTGAAAGCCCGCCTGGAGGCTGCTATAAAGGGCAATCAGGAAAGTGTCAAAGTCAAGATACCTACACCTGAGCATACCAAGAACCCTGGAAACAATTCAAGCATCCAATTAAAGACCAATTTCCTCTGATGTTTCTTGTTTTTTTTTTTTCCCCCCTTTTTTAATAGTAAGCACCTTAATATAATACTTGATCATTTCCTTCTCTTTGGGGACAAAAGTGATATTTTAGACACAAGTACATTTGGATTCCTGGTTGATTGTTAAGTAGCTGTGACTTTTCAAAGTGACAGTAAACTAACTTTTTTTGTGGGCCCCCTTCCTGCCGTTTTAATAAAACCACAGAATTCTTGCCAGGAATTTCAAGAAAGTGCTAAAGGACTCAACTTACTAAATCCACTGCTTTAAAAATGCATGGATTTCTTCTGAGAGTTCATATATACATGATATACTTAATACTGTGACAGATACAGGTTTGACTCTAGTATAAATTATCTGAGTTTATGTTCTATCCCAACTACTAATTTAAAATTCTGCCTTTTTAAGTAAATTATGTTACACTTTCTTGGATTTCTCAAACAAGATAAATGATTTGAAAGCTGCTTTGGAAACTTGGTCTAGAATTATCCAGTATATGTTGTTGTTGTTAGGTGCCATCGAGTCAGTTCCTACTCATGGCAACCTTAAGTACTACAGAAGGAAACACTGCTCGATCCTGCACCATTGTCACAATTGTTGTTATGCTTAAGCCCATTGTTGCAGCCACTGTGTCAGTCCATCTCCTTGAGGGTCTTCCTCTTTTTTGCTGACCCTGTACTTTACCAAGCATGGTGTCCTTCTCCAGCGACTGGTCCCTCCTGATAACATGTCCAAAGTATGTGAGAGGAAGTCTCGCCGTCCTTGCGTCTAAGGAGCATTTTCAATATATTAATACAAGTTAATGATAGCCCTACAGTGTGATTTAAGATTCGGTATCTATAAATATAACTTTTCACCATTTTTTGTTTTAGTTCATCTTGGGTTCAGAAAATGGAAGTTTTACTCATTTTAAATAGAGTAGGCCATCTCCACCTATTTAAATGGATTTTCTGATTCTCTGTTACCTCTGTGCCTCACAATTTTGTTCATTTTCATTTGTGGCAAACATATCAATGTGTTTAATATACATATAGAGTCATATCTATACTATATTTCAATCAACTATGGGTTTATATAATAAATTTAGATCATCAGTAGATACAAGTATTTTTTTTAACATGAAACATATTTTAATATACAAAACGATCTAATGAAAAAGTCATTTGTTGGAAAGTATTTTTTAATTGTTGCTAATCATTGACTTGGTGTCTACTTAAATGTTACACTGTATGAATCAAGCACTATGTCAAAACATTTCCTTGTTAAAAATTAAAAACCAAACTGACAGGAGCATAATCAGAATTGAGAAAACACTTTAACTAAAGCAAGAGAAATGTGATATACTCTATTTTATTATGTTTTGTATATAAATACTCTTGTAAATCGTTCAGATGAAAACATTTGACAAATTCTAACACTACAAACGATTTTTCTAATTTACATAAATAAAGTTAATTTTCTTTATCCTTCTTGTACTTTAAATTATTTTACCCACAAAAGATGGCTGGTCAATTATTCAACTTCCAGAAAGCAATTCTGTGGAGCAAATAATAGTCCTTCTCTGTAACTTGGCCTTTTTTCTCAGAGGAAACCTTTCTTTAAAGCATTTTTTATAATGGCTTAGATTTTTTGTCTTCCTAAATGTCTCTAGGAATTTGAGTGTGAATTTCTTATTGTTCCTTCACCTAGAATGCTCTTCTCTCCCTTGTTTTACCTGGCCAACTCCCACTCCTTATTTTAGGCTTGGTTTTTATGTCACCTGCCCTTGGTAGCTATCCTTAACACTTCCTCCCACAACAAGCAAAATTAACTGCTTCCTCATCTGTGTTCCATAATACTTTATACATTATTCTATGCATAAAACATCACTTTGCATTTTAGTGCTTTACCTCCCTCTTAAAACTGTGCCTCCTCAAAGGGAGAAATTTTGTCTTCTATAACTTTGCCCCTGTAGCATCAACAAAGTGCTTGATAACTGTTGAATTGTACTGGTATGGGATGGATTTAGGCTCAGAAATTTATTCCTTTGTCAAGGAAAATGCTGGACTGGGTTGTTCTCAGGACAGAATTTATTAATTTGATATTTGGATTTGTTTCATTTAGTTCTTAAACAGTACAATTTTTACTATTTATTAGCCTGCTGTACTGAATTGTTTGGGTTAAAGGTGCTTTATGGATGTCAATAGCTACAAAAAAATATTATGTATGGTGTCATGGAGGAGCCCTGGTGGCACAGTAGTTAAGAGCTTGGATGCTAACCAAAAGGTTGGCAGTGCCAATCCACAAGCCCCTCTTTGGAAACCCTGCTGGGCAGTTCTACTCTGTCCTATAGGGTCACTACAAGTTGGAATCCAGTAGAGGGCAATGGGTTTAGTTTTTTGGTTTTTTTTTTTTTTTTTTTTTTTTTTGGTGTCATGGAATTAGGAACTTTGAGTTAGGTACTATCCTCTAGACTTTTTTTATGGACCACCTTATTTAATACAACACTGAATTAGTAGATAGATCCTTACCAGTAAGGAAGCTAAGACTTCACAGCTGGGATTTAAACCCGTCTTTCTGACACCAGGGTGCTTGCTGGAGACGGAAAAAGTGCCCTGGCAGTCCTGATTGCAGTGAAGGTATAGCTCTTCCCTTTGAATGTTTCAGGCTGCGTCCCTCAGGAACCTTACTCACTCCTTGAGCTAATAAGTAACCATTCTTGCTTAAGATGTTTTGAGTTGCATTTCTCCAAGTTGCAACCAACAGGTTTCAGGCTAATACAGTATGAAAAGGTAAAAAAAAAAAAAAAAAAGTGCAGTTTCAGTGGGAATAGGTATATGATTGGATATCAGTATAAGTTCTGTTGTTTTTTTTTCTTGCGATCGTTGCTTTTCAAATCTTTTTTTTTTTTTTTATTGTACTTCAGGTGAAGGCTTACAGAACAAATAGTTTCTCATGAAACAGTAGTACACATATTGTTTTATGACATTGGTTAACAACCCCACAACATGTCAACCCTCTCCCTTCTCGACCTTTTTTTTTTTTGGTGAAAATATACATAGCCAAAGATACACCATTTCAAAAATTTCTACATGCACAGTTCAGTGACATTGACTACACTCTTCCAGTTGTGCTGCTATTCTCACTTTAGATGAAGGCTTACAGAACAAAATAGTTTCTCATTTTTTTTTTTTTAAGATTAATAGCTAAATCTGGAAAATGCTTCAAAAATTCTTTACATATGCTTTATTTTAATGAGTCACCAGTTGTGATAAAGCAGTTGCACTTTAATTAGCTTGGTAAGTTTACAAACTAAATATGTTGATTAGCAACTTGGATGAAAAAATCAAGGTGGTCTTATTTGTCTTATTTTGTCCTAGGAGGGGGAGAACAGAGCCAAACTACTAGTTGAAAGTTATTCTATTTAAGTTATTCTATTTATTTCTTAAAAGTTTATTAAGGTAAGACAAAATAACATTGGATATAAGAGATTTCTATAGAAATAGAGTATTGGAACCAAGTTTTACTTCTCTAAGGTAAACTTCATCACCAACTTAAAGGGAACTTAAAGGCACTTAAAGGGTTATGAATTAATGCTATGAAAGAGACGCCAAGCATAGTGTTATGGGAGCCCAGAGAAGAAAACAAGCTCCAAGATGGACTTCATGGAAGAAGTAGTATATGATACAGGCTTAGAGACTAGCACATACTTGATGGAATGGATGCATAACCCAAGAGTCTATTTTAACATTAATTTTGAGAACTCCCTTTATGTTATATCCTAAAAATTCCTTTTATCCTTTTATTTTAATATTAGATTTGCATTGTTGTTGTTGTTAGGTGCCATCAAATTGGTTGAGACTCATAGTGACCCTATGTACAGCAGAACGAAACACTGCCTGGTCGTGCGTCATCCTCAAAATCTTTACAGTCTTCAGATGTTTGAGCCCATTGTTGCAGCCACTGTGTCAATCCATCTCGCTGAGGGTCTTCCTCTTTTTCTTCCCCCCACCCCCCGGGCAAAAATTTATACATACATTGTTACGTGACTCTAATTGCTCTCCCCATACTGTGACAGCACACTCTTTTCCACCCCTGACTCCCCATGTCCCTTCAGCCAGCTCCTAACCCTTCTTGCCCTCCCATCTTACTTCCAGACAGAAGCTGCCCCTTTAGTCTCTTGTTACCTACTTGATCTAAGAGGCACACTCCTTTCCTCTTTTTCACTGACCCTCTACTTTACCAAGCATGATATCCTTCTCCAGGACTAATCCCTACTGATAACATGTCCAAAGTACATGAGACTAAGTCTCTCCATCCTTGCTTCCAAGGAGCACTCTGGCTGTACTTCTTCCAAGACAGATTTTTGCATTCTTTTGGCAGTCCATGGTATATTCAGTATTCTTCGCCACAACCAAAATTCAAAGGCTTCAATTTTTCTTCAGTCTTCCTTATTCATTGTCCAGCTTTCACATGCATATGAGGCAACTGAAAACACCACGGCTTGGGTCAGGTTTGCATTACAAGAGAAGAAATTCAACCCTCTAGCTAATTAATTAATGTTAAAGCTCACAATATGTGAAATAAATTCTGTATGCCTCTAGAAAACTATAAAGTTAAAATATTGAAAGTAAATACATATATATATATGTATTTATGTATATACATAGAGAAAGTAGAAACACTACAGAATCATATTTGTATTACCTTGGCTCATTAGGCAGAAATCCTAAAGCTTCAACGATCTTGCCTATATCTATCTTTCCAGACCCCCACTAACATTTATAACTGCAAAATCTAGGTAATTATATATTTTACATTTTCCTTCATCAAGTGAACTTACTTTATTCTCTAAAAATATTTTGTTAAGCCCTGCAAGGGGAAATGTATTTCCATGTTTGCTGAGAAATATAGTGATCCAGTTGCCAGCTACCTGACAGTGATCAGCCAGTTAATGAATTGTGCCTGTGTTGACTTTGTTTACCAGCCTGAGCTTTTAGCCTTGAGGAAATGTGAAAGTTTTGTGTTATGATAGCATTGGAATATATCCAGTCCAGAGAACAAATACTATCCCAGGTTGTATAAATTCAAAGGAGCTAGTTTGTTTGGTTAGGACTCCTGTGCTCTTCTATTGGTGCATTATAAAATGATGATCCCACAGGCTACTTGGGAAAATTTCTCATTACTTGGTAGCCATACTTAGTACATGTCTGCATATCTGAAATAGACAATGCATTTTGAAGAATCCACCAAAATGGATTATATTTCAAATATTCTACATATTTTGAGAAAATAAGATCATTGTTGCCAATGAGAAACTAATGTTGACAATATTTTGATTAATGAGATCAAATTTAATCATTTTTTCCTGAAAAATTATTTAGAGGCAAAAGAAAAAATTTATAAGCAAAAAACTAATTTAAATATATATGTATATATAATCTAAGTCAGTTGCTTTTGAGTCGATTCTGACTCATGGTGACCCTATGTGTGTCAGTAGACCTGTGTTCCATAGGGTTTTCAGTGGCTGATTTTTCAGAATTAAATCATCAGGTCTTCCTTCTGAGGCACCTCTGGGTGAACCTGAA